GGCTGGGGAGGAAGTCCGTGGGGCTGGGGAGGTGGCTGGGGCCGTCCGTGGGGATGTGGCGGCGCTGGCTGGGGAGGCGGTTGGGGCTGGGGCGGCGGTGTGGGTTGCGGCGGAGGCTGGGGATGGTAACTTACCATGCTTGTCTCCCCAATGGCCGTACGTCCACCCTACCCGCTGAAGGCCGTTAGCGCGGCCCCCACAGTATTAGGCGCCGTCGATCTCGTTGGCGGCCTGCTTTGCAAGTCATTCAAGCGAAATCGGTCGGCGGTTTGGATTTTCTCCTCCGGCTAAGCCTGAATATCAACGGAAAAAGCCCGATTCGTCACTTGCCTTGTTGGTTGGTTTGTTGTGTGGTTTTTTTGTTTTGTTTTGTGTTTCACCCGTGGTTCCTGTTGTTTTGAAAGTATTTTTCACTCCTATTTTGAAAGTAAACTATTACATGCGCCCTGAAAATAGTTCAGAAAATGAAGGCGACGCAACATAGCGCCTGAATGTTGGGTTTCACTATTTTGGTTGGAACCACTCCGCGCTAGGCGAATGCCATACTTCATACACGCACATGCTGCACATGTACTTTATGCATTCACATTGTTTGTGTGTGCAAGCAATGAGTCACCCGAAAATTCTCACAGCAGTTTATTCTCTAGACAAACAAACGGACAAAACGGTAAGCAAAATCAATAAAAACACCGCTACAGAGTGCCCAGCCGATCGAATACTCCCTCGAATTCGTAGCACTCTCATCGACTAACTTTAATCGAAGCATGCGATCCTCTGAATCGCCTGCAAGACGAAAAATCTCCTGATTGATGCGGAAAGGGGCCGATTTCGACGGAAATCTCCGCGCGGAGCCAACGTGTGCTGACCCCTTGGACCGACGTTCGGCCGCACCCGTGGTGTCATTCACCATACCGCAACTTGCCTCCTCGACACCAAGCTAGCAAGTACCCAAGCAGCAACATGAAGTGCACCACCATTGCCGTCGCAGCAGTGCTCGCCACCGCGGGCGTCGTTGCTGCCGAATCGCCCGCGCTTCGAGCTCTGGCTGACGCTCCCAAGGTCGGGACTGTCGTCGCCACCGCAACCGGACCGGCGGAGGCCACGGACGCGCAGCCGACGGCAGGCGAGCCGAAGGACAAGAAGGAGTGGGGCTGGGGAGGAAGTCCGTGGGGCTGGGGAGGTGGCTGGGGCCGTCCGTGGGGATGTGGCGGCGCTGGCTGGGGAGGCGGTTGGGGCTGGGGCGGCGGTGTGGGTTGCGGCGGAGGCTGGGGATGGTAACTTACCATGCTTGTCTCCCCAATGGCCGTACGTCCACCCTACCCGCTGAAGGCCGTTAGCGCGGCCCCCACAGTATTAGGCGCCGTCGATCTCGTTGGCGGCCTGCTTTGCAAGTCATTCAAGCGAAATCGGTCGGCGGTTTGGATTTTCTCCTCCGGCTAAGCCTGAATATCAACGGAAAAAGCCCGATTCGTCACTTGCCTTGTTGGTTGGTTTGTTGTGTGGTTTTTTTGTTTTGATTTGTGTTTCACCCGTGCTTCCTGTTGTTTTGAAAGTACTTTTCACTGGTATTTCGAAAGTACTTGCTAGAGGATGTAGCTCGAAAAAGTTCAGAAACTTGAGGCGACACAAAATATGGGCTGCAATTAACTTACAGGTGTCCCCAACTAACTACAGTAGAGAAAGCCGCGAGTCCAACGCTGCTGAACTTTACACATTTACATGCTATATTGTACATGCGCGCACTCTGTATGCAAGCATCAGTCGCCCGAAAAGTCTCACAACGTTTTCTTACGGCGACAAACAAGTGGAAATATTATCAACAAACTAAATAAAAACACCACCATTAACTGGTTTGCGGGCTTTGGCCCGCGATGTTCGCAGTTCGGTCGCTTTTTTTTTTACTGGATTCCAAAACCTGCACGGTAGAAAAACTTTATTTACTACTGATAGTACTATGTAGTAGCGCTACGCTTGCCGTAGAAGAGCGCTGCATGAAGAAGTTCTTGAATTTTAGCACATGCTCTTATTTTTGTACTGTGAAGTATCATGCGCCCATTTGCTGGGTCGATTACGCTGCTCGATCTCGTTTGCGCTGCTATGCTGTAATATAACTGCTGTACAACTGTCATTGCTGTTGTTTCAAATAGCTCTTTAACCGATAATGCAACATAAAAACCTTATGTTGCATTATCTCAAACATCCGCAGGGCGCAAACGACAGTTCTTATAGTATTCAATGATGGTGTTTTAAGAATATTTAAATACTCCTGTTTTTTTTACCTAAAGATTATTGTACTGAGGGCCCTTGAGAGCTCCTTACCTTGGCGTCATTTATTACTTGCCTCCTTCTCTTTTGGGCGCGCCCCGATGTCGTATTTTTCTGAACTGAACGCGTAAACATGTGTACATGTACAAGTACACGATATTGTAACGTGCACTCATCTAATCATGAGACTTTCCAAGACTTGGCAACAACAAGGAATTACATTTTCCAACTTGCCTCTCAACCAACAAGTAGCACGATGTACCTCCAGCCCCTGGTGGCCTTGGCTCTCCTCGCCTTCATCGCGCGTATTCACGCAGAAGCGTCGGTGAGGGGCCCTTCCGTCTTATCAAGCTGGGATGACTTCCACACTACTGAGATATTTTTGCGAAGCATCGGCATCGACGAACGAGAAGATGAAGAGAGAGCGGGGATGCCCAAACCTTCTTTCCTCGAAAAGACGATACGCAAGATTCGGGTCCGGTCGTTGCCCCGGAAAAGCTGAACAAATGGCTCAAAAAGGGGAAATCTGCTGATAAGGTCTTCTATCGCATGTATCTTCCTGATGTCGGAGGGGCACTGCCCTGTTCCAGCAGTGGCTCAAGTACGTTGACGATTTAAATGCCAAACACCCCAAGGAGGCAATGCCCGCAATCTCGAGACTGACTGGTTACTACGGAGACGATGCCCCGTATGGCATGATAAAATCCGCCACGCGATACTCAGATACGATAGAGGTCGCGACGTGGCTACAGACCGAGCAAGCGTTCCTGACGACGTTTTTCACGTGATGAACCTTGACAAGTTGAAGACGAACATCCTTAGTAATCCCGAATTCCTCGCTTGGGCCAAGTACGTCGACGATTTCTATGCAAAGCATCCAGATAAAACAACGTCAGTAGCTCCGTCTCTGATGAAGTACTTCAGGAGCAGTGTTCTATTCAACATGGCCGAAGCCGCGAAGGGCGCGGATGAAACCAAGAGCAATGCCGTCAAGTTAGAGGCTGGACTGGTTCAGCGCTCGGAAGACACCGGATAACGCTCTGATCGAGCTGGGGCTCCGCAAGGCAGCGGAATCACGAGACAGGAGCCAGATGATGTTCTGGAACAGCACTCACTCGGGAGTAAAGTGGACACTGTGCTGGAGAACCCACTGTTTAGTATTTTGGTCAGGTACATGGAAGCTTATAACGCCAAGTATCCGCAGCAAAAGACGACAATAATTGAAATGTTTACGCGGGCGTATGGCGATACACAGGTGGTGGAGATGGTAATTGTCGCAAAGGCGAACAAGGTCACACGAGGCGTTGCCATAATACTGGAGTTTGTGCAACTGGAAATGTGGCGAAGCAGTGGAGAATCAGCCGACCGACGACGTGTTCAAGTTGCCACAGCTCCACCGCCGGCTTGTCTATAACGACAATCTTCTCCTTGACCAGTGGTTTTCGTACGTGAATATCTACCACAAAGACAATCCCAGCATGTTTTCGACATTGGAGTCTCCAATGTCGAAAACATGCTGGGATTGTCTCCAATTTGGAGACTCGCCTCGAGGGCAGACGTCTGAACCAGACCCTCCAAGCAGCTAAGAAGTATCCGAGCGTGGAGAACATTACGACTACAATCCAGATGGAGAAGTTTGAGGCGTATGCAGCGAGCAATCAAGACCCCTATGAGCTATTTAAGCTGCTAGCGCTTGGCAGTATGGGGCATGAAATTCTCGAGGATGCTCTGTTCAAGTCATGGAAGAACTACGCACAGATTTTCAACCGAAAGAACCCGAGCAATCCAGAATCCTGGCTTACGTCGATCAGAGTCAACTATAACGTCGAAAACGATGATGAAGAACGCGATGCAAAACCCAAGCACCAGAGACATTGGCGAAGAGCTAGAGAAAGAGTGGATTGAGTACTGGCTAAAGGCTGATACGCTCCCCCAGTCTGCGTTCTGGGCTTTGATCCATAACGTCGTACCTCCTGAAGAGGTTCTTGCGAGCCCAGAAATCAAAACGTGGATCAAGTACCTCGACGCCTTCAACAAGAAGCATACCAACCAAGAAACGACTATTTTCGATGGCCTCAGCGCGTTGCTGACGATTCTTGATGCGGCAAAGAAGGATGAGAGCACGAAAACGCTGGCGACAGAGTAGCAGGGTGCTCTTATCGGCAAGTGGCTATCTGAAAAGAAGACGCCGGCTGGCCTGAAACGGACGTACATCAATGAGGAAGCGGTCGACGAAGTGGTAGAGCGGTATACCAAGCTGTTCAATGCGTTGCCGAAGGCCAGTGACCCGTGACGGCTCGACTAGAATTGACTTCACGCAATCCGACTGTTGTTCAAGAAATTCACTCTTTGCCACGCAAATTTTAACAGCAAATAGTGCTGGCTGCCTACCGAAGTTTAAAGAAGCGCCACGGCGTGTCGAAGTCGTACATGTAGTCGAAGGCCGTTCCGACGAAGACAACGCAATAGCCTTTCTCGTCGGCACAGTGCTCCCTTGAACCGTAGGCACCTCCATGTACCGTATGCTCTAAATTCCAAAATGCCCGGGCTACACTGCGCCTACCAAACTCACCGCACCTGCAGGCTGCAGTCTTCCCACTGCAGCGCTGGGCAGCATAGCGGAGACCTTTGCGTGCGGGGAGGTCCGCGTTGAAGTTCGACTGGTGATCGTCGACACCGCCATCCGGCGACACGCAAGGTCAGAGCCACAGGATTGGCCAAAATACGGGAAGGGTGGATGATCTGGTGGCGTCAATCCAGTGTCGCAGCGTCCCGACCGACCGAGGCGGCGGAACGGGCCTCCGACACCACCGCCGCCGCCCGAGGCACTTTGACGCTGGCACCGACGCGTCTACATGTACAGGCATCAATGGCACAGGTCTAGGGTAATGCATTGAAGCGTGCGAGCCTTCGCCGCCCCCAGGCAGTTCTGAGGCCTGCGGACTCGGCAGCTGCGTGAAAGATCTCGCGCCAGTGTCTCGCGTGGCCGAAGGGGCGCGAGGTGGCGCGAAGGTCGCAGCAAGGCGCTCGAAGGGATGCGGAGGGATGGGGTGCAGAGCCACGGTCCCGCGAGAACCTGGGAGAACGCATGCTTCACTTGCTCTTTGTATCGACCACATCTGATCCCATGCAGCTCAGAGACCAGCCATCATCAAGTCCCGCAGGTTTTTGAAGTTTAGCGGCTGGTCCCTCTCACCCACCGCATAGTGAAATGCAGTCACGCCCGCAAAATGGAAGGCCGGCACGCGTTCCCTCTCTGCAATGGCCATCACGCCCGCTCGCTCACTCACAACTCGATCCGCTTCGTCGCGCGTAGCTCCTGACTCCAGTCGCCTCGTCAAGTCTCGACACAATGGCCGCCACGCCGCTCAGCGTCGACGACATGCTCATGGGCGAGATCCTCATGTCGCTCAAGCGCGACAGCCCCCGCCTCAACGACTCGGCCAACAGCATCAAGCTCGAGCCGCAGTACCGCAGCAAGATGCGCGGCCTGAGCGTGGAGGTGTCTCTGCCCGCCGGCCCGTCCGGGGCCTCGAGCCCCGCCGACGTCTTCAACTTCGACGCCTTCAGCGCCGTGAGCCCCATGGCCTTCAAGCTGCCGCTGCACCCTGCGGCTGCATCAGCTGCAGCGTCTCCGTCGCCTCGCAGCGTGACGCCGCGCGGCGGCAACAAGCGCTACGGGCCCGTGGTGCAGCTCGAGGACCTGCGCGAGTGCTTCAACATGCCCATCGCCGCCGTGGCGCGCAAGTTCGGCATCTGCGCCACGCTGCTCAAGAAGATCTGCCGCCGCCACGGCATCCAGCGCTGGCCGCACCGCCAGATCCGCAGCCTGCAGAAGAGCATCGACATGCTGCGAGAGTCGCTGAGCGTGGCCAAGGGCAGCAACAAGGAGTACATCGCCAAGAAGATCGCGGCCTTCGAGTACACGCTCGAGTGCATCATGCAGGACCCCAACACGGCGGCCAAGGGCATCTCGGCCGGGCGGCTGGCCTCCCCCGCCACGGAGGAGATGGTCAAGCGCGGCAACCGAGCCAAGGGCCGCAAGAAGACGCCGGCGGCAATGGCTAAGACCGCACTTTCGGACGATGAAGAGGCCGCGAGTGGTGCGGCGACCGCTGCTGCTGTGTCGCCCATTGCGGCTCCACAGGATTGGACGACGGATGGGGGTGAGCGTGGGCCTGACGCTCAGCGTCTCAACACTCGTCGAGCGAGTGTACCCATGTCGCTGCAGTCCATTCTGTGCTGATTGAAACGTGGGGGGAAGTAAGATAGGTGTTGTAGTGTTGCGTTGCGTAGGTTCTTATAGGTTGCGAGTGCTTTCGTGTGGCGCTCGCGAGTAGGATAGGTCGTAGGGATGAAAAGGAGGAAGGAAGGCGAGGTAGGTCTCGCCTGTAATACAGTCGTGAGTGAATAGATAAGCAACTTGAGTGTCCAAGCAGAGACGGGAAGATCTTTCGAAGTTTAGTGCCGCCGAGCAGTGACACGCAATGAATCTGGTGCGCGAAGCGGCGCGCAATGATGTTTTTCCTCGTCAATATTTGACTGGATGCAAGATGACAAGCAAGCAAGGCAAAGAGATAGCAGCTCTCAGCTGGCAGCGTTCTCGGCGTTTCGTGCTTCTGCCGTGGCAAAGTTTTTGCGCCGCTTCATGCTTTAATGGGCTCAGTACTGGCAGTAACATGATCATGGACAGGAGCTTGCACAGGCAACGCTGTATCGTGGGAGCGTCATTCATCAATCTTGGCCAGTTACGAGGCGACGCCACAGTAGCCAGCCAAGCTGCCGCGTCACTGCTTTGCTTGCCTTGCTATTTGGACTAAACATGGTTACACCGACTTCAACTTGGACCATACAAAAACCAAGTAAAACTGGCTCTTCAACTCTGGCTATTAGTGGGTCTTATGACACGCATTTTGATGGACGACTCAGCCCGAAGTATAAATACCGAGCTTGCTTGCCATCGTGGGGCAGGGAACTGAAGCACAACGAGAGACCCTGAAGTGCCAGCACCGTTGCCTTCCGTCTGTTCCGATCCGAGCCAAGCTAAGTCAAGTCATGGGCTGCGACGAGCACGCCGAGAAGTCCAACGGCCTCTGGTACGTGGGCGTGATCCTGAGCATCGTGGGCTCCATCTGCACCAACATGGGCGTCAACCTGCAGAAGTTCTCCTTCATGCGCGAAGCTAAGGGCCGCAGCGTCGTCGACAAGCGCGGCTACTTCCGCCAGCCGCTGTGGGTCATCGGACTGCTGCTCGTGGTGGGCGGCAGCATTCTCGACTTTGTGGCTCTCGGCTTCCTCCCGCAGTCTCTAGCGACCCCAGTGGGAGGCTCTACAATGGTGGCGAACGTTGTCTTCGCGTCGCTATTTCTCAAGGAAAAGTTTACCAGGTCCGATGCAATTGGCACCGCGCTCGTGCTGCTGGGCATCATCGTCGTCGCCACCTTCGCCGAGAAGGAGAGCAAGTGCTACACCGTGCACGAGCTCGTAGCGCTCTACCGGGAACCGCTCTTCGCTGTGTACGCAACACTCATGTGCGTGTCGTGCGTTGTACTCTTCCTGCTAGTGCGCAAGATGGAGCAAACACTCAGGCATAAAGGGAGAACCTCGCCAGAGTACAACCGCTTCCGCAAGCTGCATCCAGTGAGCTACCCCGCCTTGTCCGGGATCTTTGGCGCGCAGTCCGTGCTATTCGCCAAATCCATGGCGGAGCTCATGAAGACGACGATCGAGGGCGACAATCAGTTCGTGACGTTCGGCGCCTACGCTATCACGCTCAGCATGTTCCTGTGCGTCTTCCTGCAGATCCACTGGCTCGCGCACGGGCTGCAGAAGTTCGACGCCGTCTTCGTCGTGCCCGTGTTCCAGTGCTTCTTCATCTCCGTCTCCATCTTCGGCGGTGGCGTGTACTTTAAAGAGTTCGCGCAAATGTCTCCCCTAGCTCTGGCAATGTTCACGGTAGGAGCGATTATCACGATCAGCGGCGTGGTTAAGCTCGCGCACCGCGATATGCACAAGCTGAGTCCGTTGAGACGGATGCGAGCGGCGGCAAGCATGTTGCTCTTTATCTACCGGTGTCAAAAGGCTCGCAACATCAAGGCAAACTGGAATATGAACCCCAGCCAAAGTGAGACGGCGAAGTTCTTCAATGAGCACAATGTGCCGCTCATATGCACCAAGAAACTCGCTACTCAACCGGAGCCAAGCGTGTCTCCGCCCTCGTCAAGACTGTTAGGGCAACGCTCGAAAGCCTCTGTGCTACCCGTTGGTCCTGAAGTCACAACCGTCCCCACTACTCCTACGTCTGTAAGCTCAGCATCCGCATCCGCGTCTGTAACCCCAGAACCAATTCCGATTCCAGCCCCTCCACTGTCTAGCCGAGAAGTGACAGGGGAGAGTGTGTCGTCGTCTGTAGGTAGGAGAAAAGCACGAGGGCCACCCTCGCCGCCATAACAAATATTAATTGCATCAAGATAGATCGTTGTTTGCTTGTTACATCACGTTTAACAGGAAGAACTGCTGTCTTGGGGGAGGGCGTGCGGAACTAAGAGTGCCGCCCCCGCAGTTCAGGCGGATGGAAGCTTCGCGAAGCCTCCACAGCCGCCCTCCATCTGCATATCTATTTTAACTTGGTTTCACTATACCTACGGTGAGTCGTACCTACACTGACCTCCTATTGGCTTACCTTTCTACCAATCAGATACACTCACCCCTTCTCTGGCTGCGCGCCCTTCCGACTTGTCATTCCCGAAAAAGACAGAGAACCGCGACGCTTCCGGCTGTCGCCTGAGGAATTAGTCCGACCTCGCTTCTCCTTCGCCTCGGCCTGGTTGTTGGAGGCTTGGATTGGTTCCTTGGGCTGATGGTTGTGTCGCTAGCGGTTTCTACTGCTGCCGGAATGCAGTCTCCTGCTTCCGCGCGTTCTGCCTCGCCTCCAGCGACGGCTGATCATGATGTTGAGGCTCCGTCGTCTGCGTCGCCTCTGGCGACCGCAAATCTCGATGGTCCGTCCATGCTTCCGCCTGGCGCCGCCACGCCGGCCGCGCCGGCAGACTCTGAATGCGCCGCCGCGCTCGCGCAGATTGTCGATGTTGTGGCCGCTGCTGGTGAAGACAGCGATGCTGACTCCGGTCTTGACGAAGAGATGGTGCGTGTGTGGGAAGAATTAGAGCTCACCAGTCGCTCTCCCGGTCTTGGCTCTCCAGATTCGGACTCGGCGTCCCCGGTGCCGCCGCCTGCGTCGCCAGCGCCGCGTGAGGTTGTTGCTTCGGCTGGTGGTTTTTCTCCACCTACGCGCCTCCAGGAGTTGATCTTCATGCTCGATGTGGAAGGGTTGTCTGTCGAGGAGGCGATAGCTGCTGAGCCTGCGCTTGGGGCGACCTTTGAGGCCTCGCCTGAAGATGAATCCGGGCTTTTCGATGATAGTGACGACAATGAAGGCCTGCCTCAGGTTGACCGCTCGCGCTTGCGTCACGATGACGAGACTTCGACGTGTCATCCGATGCCGCTTCCTCCGGCGCCCAAAAAGCACCCGTCGAACAACCGCAAGAACCACTACGACCCGAAGAAGCCTTGGGATTACAACACTGAGGTTGACATCGTCCGTGCCTTGGATGTCAGGGGCAAGGCTCCGCACCGTTGCTACTTTATGGAATGGGAAGGCAATCCGCTACAGCTAAGCTGGGTCTGGATGGAGCAGCTCGACAAACCGTCGACGCGCTACATGATGAGGATGGTGGACGCTTGGAAGGAATCGGGAGACAAGCGCACCTTCTGTTATTGGTACTCGGAGCGTGATTCCGCGTCGGAGGCTGGTACTTGTTTCATGGATGCTTTCCGCTCGGCCTTGTACTATCTCGGACAGCCGGATCTAGTCACAATGGAGATGTGGGATGCGTATGAAGACACGCGACCTGAAGCCATCCAGTACGGTGTGTCTCGCGATGACGTGACGGAGTTCTTCAAAGTTCTGCAGCGCAAGAGTGTGCCACTGAACTACGACGTCCTTCTCCGAAACGTTCTTCCAGAGTCAAGTGCCAACATCACGACGCTCCAAGGTGTTTGCCGCAAACAAGCACCCGGTGTTTACGTCGTCAGCGCTGGCCACAATGATGTCGGGCACTGCTTTGTCGTGGTTAACCGTGGTCCGGAGAAGCAACTTCTGGCTCTTGACAATTTCAATGCCCGCAAGAACCCGCCGGTGGACATTCTTCCTCTGCGTTACCAGCAGTGGATTCAGCACGTGAAATGGATGGCGCAAGTGGAGCTGCAACCAGGATACAAGTGTCGCCACGGCAAGCGCAAGTCGAAGACGCAGAAAAAGCGGGAGAAGCGCATGAAGCAGCAGGTTCTGCAACAAGAGGGGATGTAATACGGGAATACATGTAGGCCTTTGAGTCCCCCTTCAGCTGATCCTGCTTCACCGTTTTCGACGCTTCTTTCGCCTTGCAGATTCAAATTCCGCGATGAGATCTGGGACTTGCGACAAGTTCTCCACTGGTTCCCAGGTTTGTTTCTCCTCGCCCACCCACTCCACAAGATATTGGATCCGCCGTTTTCGCGTTCGCTTTCCACGTAATGCCTTGACGATCTGGCCAATGAAGCCGTTCGCTAAGATTACGTCGCTTGGCCTCGACAAGCGAGTTGGCTCCTTGTACGGCTTCAATGACGCAGTGTTGAAGACGGGATGCAGCTTGTTGCCAGCCTGGATGTTGAGCTCGTACGCGTGGTTATGAATCTTCCGCACCACGGTGTACGGTCCAATCCACTTGGGTCCGAACTTGGTGGAGTTGGGCAAGCCGGAGTGCTTCGGGTCCAGATTCTTCGTGCTCAAGTAGACCCTGTCACCAACTTCGAAGATCTGCTCAACACGGTTTCGGTCGTAGACGTCGCGCATCCGTTCTTGGGCCTGAGCTAACGCTTCGCGACAGCGTAAGAGAATCGCGGCCTGTCGCTCGTGAAACTCTGCTCCGCGTCGACTCTTGGGAACACTCTCAAGTTGCTCGGATGCAAGTTGAAGTGGATTCAGCGGAATGTAGCCCAGATCGGCTTCAAACGGCGCAAGCTTCGTGCTGGAGTTGACAGTCGAGTTGACAGCGAACTCAGCGTTGGCGAGATGGACGTCCTAATCATCTTGAAGTGGACCGACGAAGCACCGAAGATACTCTTCCAAGGTTCGGTTCATGTGCTCCGTTTGTCCGTCACCTTGAGCGCGATGTGCAACGGTCATGCTTAGCTTCGTCCCGATGGACTTGAAGACATGCTGCCAGAAGGCGGACACGAACTTCCTGTCGCGGTCGGAGACGATATTCGTCGGCATGCCGTGTAACTTCCAGATGTTGTCGATAAAGAGTCGAGCAACACCTTCGGCGTTCACCTTCTTGGTGGTTGGCACGAAATGACACCGCTTGGTCAACCGATCGACGACGACCCAGATAGAGTCGACGCCCCGCTCCGTTCGCGGCAGATCAGTGATGAAGTCCATGGAGATGGATCTCCAACGCTCGTCTGGGCCGACAGCGACAAACTTCTGGATGGACCTCAACATCTTTGAGCAGTACCAATGGCGCGCCAGTGTCAAGTACGTACGTTCCGCACCGGGATGGCCTCCGTAGTTGGTGTCGTGACACTCGCTGATAATTGTCTGTCACAACTTCACATCGTTGGGCACGACAATCCGTGGAGCGTCATCTGCAGGCGTTTGATACCACAGTAACCCGTTCGCTTCGGAGTAGCAGCGGTATTTCTTGTGCTGCTGGTGTTCGCGCTTTGGTTTTGAGTCGGATTTGCGTCGCTTGATTGCTGTCAAGATTGCTTGGACATCACGATCTTTCTTGTACGCTTTCTTGATGCGCGTAATCAGCTCCGAGTCACCCGTTACTTCGCTGATCGCGAGGCTGGAGGATGTGTCGTCGAAGCTGGTCACCCGTAAGTCGTGGAAGAACTTCGTCTCCGGTTGTAAGTCTGACCTTCGACTTAACGCGTCTGCGATGCCATTCTTCGCACCGGGAAGGTACGAGAACGTCGGCTGGTATTCCGCAAGGATGTCGTACCAACGAGCGAGTCGACGGTTGGCCATCTTCTGGGTGAACAGTCCTTCGAGATTTTTGTGATCTGTCTCGACGATGGGTGGTTTGTCCAGGCAGTAGATCCGAAACGCTGCCAGCGCATGAACGACCGCCAGTAGCTCCTGCTGCTGAGTCGGATAGTTGAGCTCCGCCGACTTCATATTCCGGCTTGTGTACGCTATCGGGCGCTCAACTCCGTCCACCACTTGAAAAAGGACTCCACCGACAGCAAACTTGCTGGCGTCGGTACGCAGATGCATGGGGCTGCTGAAATCCGGCAAGTGCAATACTGGCGGGTTGCACAGTCGCCGCTTCAACTCCTTGAAGTTCTTCCGCTGCTCGTCGCTGAGATGAATCTTGGCGTTCCGCTTGTTCTTCTTCTTCAAGAGCGCAAACATGGAGGCTGTCAGAGATGCGTACTCTGGACAGAATCGCTGGACGTAACCTGTCAAGCCAAGGAAGCTGTGAAGCTCTTCTTGCGTCCGTGGTACAGGCCAGTCCTTGATGGTCTGCACCTTGTCTGGATCCATCCGAACTCCATTTCGCCCTACGAAATCTCCGAGACACGGGATCTCGTCGGAGCAGAAGACACACTTGGAGAGCTTGACGTACAACTTGTTATCACACAAGATGTCAAGTGTTTTCCGCAGTGCGTCCAGATGGTCCTCGATCTTCGGTGACTTGGTGAAAACATAGATGTCATCGTAGAACGACTTCGTGTTCTTCAAGTCTCGAAAGAGCTTCGATGTCAATCTGTGCATCGTTGCTGGTGCGTTGCAAACTCCCATTGGAAGAACGAGATACTCCCAGAGACCGTCCGGCGCTTGGAATGCGGTAAACTTGATGTCTTCTTCCCGCATGCGCACTTGGTAGTACGCGGACATCAGGTCCATCGTGGAGAACCAGTACGCACCGGACATGGCATCAAGGATGTCTTCCTTCCTCGTCATCGGGATCCTTTGACGCACGGTGTTCGAATTCAAGTACCGGTAGTCGTGAACAATTCTCCAGCCAACTGGTTTCCGGACACAGAATGTTGGGGCTGCGTGGGGCTGATGCTTGGTCGAATGAGCTTCTTCTTCACCATGTCTTCGACCCAGCGCACGATTTCACGCAGCTGCTCCGGCGACTGTCGCCACTGCTGCCGGTACATCGCCATATTTGGATCCTTCACACCGATCCGGTGTTCGATGTCACGCTTCTCTGGTAAACCTTCGGGTAGTTCTGGACGAAACACGTTGTCCTTATACTCCATGAGAAGATTGAAAGCTGGATTCTCTCGGAAGGTGTCCCAGTCTGTCTCCAGATAGCGTTGTGCTTTCGCACTCCCAACGTTGTCGGGCTGATCTCGGCGTTGCAGTGAACGTGCAACTTGCTTGATCGTCTCGTTCGACAGCACCAACATGAAGTCAGGCTCGTCGCTCGTCTTGGTCTTGATTCTCAAGAACTTCCGCAACTTCTTGCGCGTGATGTATTTGGTCTGTATACCACTCTCGTCGACAACTCCCATCGTGAACATCTTCTCCACGGCGTTGTCTCCACCCCTGGTACTGCTGCTTCCATCAGCCTCGACTACAGTACTCTCGCGCTCAGACGTCGCAACGTCGTCGTCTCCAGCTGAACTCTTGCCAGCTTGCGCGTCATCATGTCGTCCGCGGACAACACTTGGGGATTTCTTCTGCACTGCGTCACCAACAGCTTCAACCGTGAGCTTCACATCCGTTTCCAGCGGGTCTTTTCGCCGATAGGCCTTTCGCCTCGACAGATCTCCGAAGCCCGGAGGTAATCACCGGTCCGCCTTCCTCGATCGGCTCACAGGTCTTCCCTGTTCGCTTCCAGTGCAGAGTCCTCGTTCTCGTTCCTTCGATTCGTCGACCTCTCCAGTCAATATGTGGTTGCATGTCTTCGAAGAATGGTATTCCAAGAATGCAATCGAATTCGTCTGGAATCGGGTAGACGACTGCCACACACTTGTAGGCGTCGTCCAGCCTCGAGGCCAGAATCTCTATCAGCAGAATTTCAAGCTCCGCCTCGACAATTTGGTTGTCTCCCAGCTTGACACGAATGTTCTTGTCGCTGAACTTGGTTGTCTGAAGCTGGTGCTCCTCGACCCAACGCTTGGATACGTAGATCGTGGTGGCTCCACAGTCCAACAACTTGCTTCGTGTCGCCAGACACTTGTCACCAACACTGATTTCACCTGTTACGGAGAACAGTGGACGTGACTTGTAGACCAGAGGGTTTTCGCACAGAACGTTCAAGCTGATATTCTCAATCTTTGGTGTCCCGGTTACGCTCTCGTCCACGCCAGGACCCTCATTCACTGACGTGGTTGCTCGTTTCCCTGCTTCTCTTGCTCCTTCTTCCAGAGGAAACAGTTGGCCTTGATGTGGCCAGGCTTCTTGCAGTGATAGCAGGTGCGGCCTTCAGTACGCTTGGAGTCAGACCTCGGCTTGAACCGTCCCTTGCCGCGGAAAGGTTTCCCTTTGAATGGCTTGTCTTGCTTGGGAGCTTGATCAGCGAAGATCTTCCTCTTGTCTTGGCGGGACTGGCGGTCGCGCACGTCGTCCACAAAGTGCGTAACTTCGTACTTGATCGCCAGGTCCATAGCCGCGCTCAGCGTCTCTGGGTTCTCGAGCTTGACGTAGCTACGGGTACGAGGCTTGAGACCGTTTGCGTAGCTTAGCACCTGGTCAAGTACACTCATGCCCTCAACTCGGAAGATAAGAGCAGAGTACTCGCCGTTGTAGGTCTCGATGGCCGCCGTTTGCTTGAGTCGCTGCAGCTTTTCTCGCAAGACGGCCTGGTAGTTCGAAGCTTCGAAGTCTTGGAGCACATGCTCACGGAGAATCCCCCACGTGTGCTCCTCACTTCTCGTCGTCGATGACCAGTGCAAGAACCATCCTGAGGCAGGCTTTTCCATCGCCGACCCGGCGATACCCGGCAGACGCGCGCTCGCGTCTTCGATTCGGATTCCGTTGATGCGACAGGCGTTCTCGATCTGGAACAGCCATTCGCGAACGTCTTCCCCCCGCTTGCCGGTGAACTTGGGCAGATTGGTGGGCACTCGCGTGCGCTCTACCATCGCTTGATTCAGCCGGTCGATCTCGGCTCGTAGCTGGGCGTTCGTCGGCATGGGCTTCTTGTAGTCAGGTTGCTGGGACCAACAAGTGCTACCAGTTTAACAAGAAGAAGTGCTGTCTTGGGGGAGGGCGTGCGGAACTAAGAGTGCCGCCCCCGCAGTTCAGGCGGATGGAAGCTTCGCGAAGCCTCCACAGCCGCCTTACATCTGCATATCTATTTTAACTTGGTTTCACTATACCTACGGTGAGTCGTACCTACACTGACCTCCTATTGGCTTACCTTTCTACCAATCAGATACATCATGCGTAGCTATATTAACTGCTGCAAGAAAATCCCCAGCGACTCCGTGCGATCATGTCATCGGCGTTTGGATCAGCAGAGAATATGTACTTAAGGTGCGCTGGCTTCTGCTCTTCAGCGACCCATTTGCTGATTAGTGCATTCTCCAAGTTCGTCGCCAGTTTCTTCGTGGCGGATTGCTCCTTCGCCGCATTAAGCATCGGCACAACAGCGATATCCTTGTAGATCGCCCGGATTCCGTCGAGCATCGTCGTTTTATCCTCGGGATAGCGATGGTTAAAGTCTCTCAGGTACTTGGCCCATACTCTGAACTTGGGATCGGAAAGCGCATTCTCACCAGCGTCGTTGAGCCGAAGGAACTTAAACGCTTGCTCGGGAAGCTTCTTCTCGTCTAACCATGTCTTTATCCACTCCCTCTCCACCAGCTTGGCGATTTTCACGGTGCTTGGGTTCTTCATCGCCGCATCGATCATCCGTTCGACGCCATGCCATTCATACTTAATTTGAAGCGGTAGGAACCATGACTCTTGATGCTGTGGATTCTTCTTGTTGTAGGCCTCGACATACGTCATCCATTGAGAGAAAAGCGGGTTGGCCAGAATGGAATCTCCGACCTCATCCAGGGCGAGTATGTTGAATATTTCCCTGGGAGATTCGTTGTTTGCCGTGTAGCTCAGGATCAGCTTCATCTGGACTTGAGTTGCAGCGCCTTCCATACTGGGGTACTACGCGGCTAACATGAGGATTTGACCTAGGGGTCTGCCCTCAAGGAGCGTCTCTACTGTCGAGAATACCGTAGCGGCCTTGCTAGGGTTCTCCTTGATGAAGACATTCATGTACGAGACCAACGTGTTGATGAGATGATGCTCTGAGAAGAATACACCAGCATAGTCGAGCTTCAGTAAGTTGAACACGTCTTCGACGGATTTTCCGCTGCTCAACCATATTTCAAGCTGTGCAGCCTCCAGTTTTGTGGCAAGGCTGCGCGTAACAACCTCCTTCTTTGCCTTCGTAATCATCTTGGCCACATTTGCATCACCAAATCTCCTCGTCAGTGCCTCGATTACAGTCGTTTTCTTCTCGGGATACAGCACGTTGTAATCGTCCAAGTACTTGACCCAACTGTTGAACAGCGCCCTCTCCAACAGCGGTTCGACCGGATTTTTGGAGTAGCGGGTTTTCTTTCCGAGTCCGAAATCTACCAGAGCCTCGTCTGGTGTTTTCTTGCTTTTCAACCAGGCTTGGACCAGTTCTTCCTGCAGCTTGGTGGCGATGGCTTTGGTTTCTTCCACACTCTTCGCCGCCTCGGTCATTTTGAAGATAACGTCGTCACTGTAGTAGTTCAGGACTGTCGGCACCATCGACGTTGACTGCTTGTGGTACTTCGCATTGAAATCGTCCACGTACCGCGCCCAGTTGATGAATTCGGGGTTGCTGAGAATGTCTGTCTCTACCTTGTCAAGCTTCATAATGTGAAAGACCTTGTCCGGGACTTTGGCAGTGGCTACCCAGTGCTTCATTAGCTCGGTTTTCAATTTCGTTGCAACTGTTTCCGTTCCTTCGTTCTTTAGGCCAGCTTCGATCAGTTTGTACAAACCATCGTCACCATAGTGAGCAGTCAACGTCAAGATCGCTGACGTCTTGATCGCGGGGTGCTTGATCTTCAGATCGTCAGCGTATGTGAGCCACCGAGCGAACTCTTCGTCGTGCAACAACAAGTTACCAGCCTTATTCGGCTTCATGCGAGTGAAAACATCGTCTGCGGACTCTCCATTGATCAATAGTTTCTGAAGTTGTGCTTGGGTTGGCTTCAAGAGCGTTGTCAGCATTTCGAAACCTGGCAGGGAGAATCCTGCTCTCTCCGCGTCGTCATCGTCGTGGTTGGCTCGTGCAGCTCGTAAAAATCTCGTCGCGGGGCTATCATCTTGGCTTGTAGTTTGAACAGTAGACCAGCTTGTAGCATGGGATACAAGTACAGAGGAACCTGCAACCGACGCATTCGGTCAACTCGCGTGGCAACTGCGACGCATGTCAGCCCTGCCAGCCCTGCCAGACGGAGGAGGCGCATCGTTCGACTTGGGTGCTTAAGAGCAAGCTGGGAAATGAGAGGGGCTTGGTTGGAGCTTGTGGTGGGTACACACCGATGGAGCAAGCCAGCATCACGGGAAGCTGACTGGTCTCTGTGCTAGTTCACCAGCATTGTGATAGTGCGTTATACATGTACTGTACGGCGATGAAGCGTCGCAGATTATACCATTCCCTGGTTATCCGATACGCATTGAACACGTGATTATCTATAGCGAGGACACTCCAACCAGCCGACTGTGTTTGCTGACCGCACAAGATAACCCAAGGCATTCATTAGCAGCTAGACAACTATTATAACACATCTTGAGGTAACTTGCAATCTCGATTCTTTTTTTTTCTTCTTCTTCTTCATTATAACATGGATTTATGCATATGTATCGTGGCTTTCATCCGTTTTGGCAAATCGGGTGGTCCAAGATCCGATATATCGGGCCCGATTTGCTGGAGGGCTCCGATTTAGCAGGAAGGACTGAGGGAAGCAAACTATATCTGGCCCGATTTGCGTCTGGGGGCTGCGAGTTGCGAAGCAGGGACCAGAAATGCCGCTTTTTGCCGGCAAAAGGGACCGCCGCGAAAACATGTCTGGGGCCCTCTCAGATCGGCGTGGCACGAAGTTGTAGCGGCCGTAGATGTTCACACAGGTGATTTAGCTGGCCATAGTGCTATGAAGTGGCTATATACAGTGTACTATTGTCCCCAATGTCTTGCAGTTCTAATGCGTCATGAGAAGTGGGGAGGTATGTCCAACTTGGAATGCCTCCCCTTTGAGCCTTATGCTACTAACTCAGGTCAGATATAGCTAAATTGGACTAACCGATCATGTGGGAGCTCCATTTTATATAAATCGGACTCCGAGATAACACGTCAAATCGGGCGGCAAAATAGTTGAAAACCACTTCAGTACGAGACTCATCGGCATATGGCATATTTGCAGCCGACGATTCGTACACGAGACAAGGGTCTAATCTTCACGGGGAATTATTTCGTACAAACACAATGTATCGTTTCCGAGAAGTAATGGCATCTATTGTATCGAAGAACACCATCGGATCTACGGCGAGGACACTGTGGTCTCCATTTTACTAGCTTCATCCAAAGTACTACTATAATTCTAGTTATTACTCTTGTCGATCACTCATACTTCTAATAATACTCTGCCGTCAGTTAAGTAATATAGGATTGTATTACTCGTTTTATTGTGGCTTTGCAGATAAAATGTCGCCCTGTTTAATGGCCTAGATCGAGGAGGGCTGACCCACAAATCAGGGCACAAAACAGAGACGGTAGCATGGATGACCTCGATTTACGTAGATCGACCTCGATTTGCGCCTTTGAAACGCAAAAGGAATCGATTTGGCAGATCGACCTCGTTCTGTCCAGATCCACCGGAGATCGACCTCAAGCCCTAATTTGGATTGTCGTAGCTCGAGTTATTAGCCGGCCTAAATGACCTGTCCCTTTCTTTGACCTCGTTTTATTACATCGACCTCGACTTATTATAATGATAAATCGAGGAGAGCTCCAAGTCAAAACGACAGAACGTTTGCAAAGCACAATTAACAGTTCGTTAGGACTGACTAGTACACGTGCTTTGGAATTGTACCCCAGGGGTACAATTGCCCCCCCAGTCTTTATTTTATTTCTTCCCCCATACTAAACCCTGTATTATACACGCTAAAAAATTGTACCCCCGAGTCCATTTATTATTTCATTTTAGTGTTACTTCGCAACTACTTACTACCAGCGCTGGCCGATACCGCCGAATACCGGCCGAATAATATAGGGAAATATATGACAGGCTGGGACGCGCTACCATCAGCAACACACGGCTAGGTAGTAGCGGCTGCATTGAAAAGATGGGCAGTAGTTATGGATAGAGAGGAATGCAGACACATTTTATCTACTGATGTTGTAGTATATGCGTATCGTGTTTGATGCTACAGTAGCTAGCTACACGCCCACAAGCTGTCTCGAGGGCTGAGCCATAACGCTGTTGGGGAGCGCCGTTGGCTGGGCCGCGCTGGCTAGACTTTCCTGGCTTGGGCTCGCTGCCACTGCCCTGTTGGCTGCAGTACTAGGAGAAGCATAGCAATAGTGAACTGAAGTATACAATACAAACAGTTAATCACTCAGTCAGTAGCGAAGAAGTGAATGGGTGAGCTGTCTTGGTTTGGCCCAAACAAGACACCGTCCTCGAAGTTACAGTATATTGAAGCCAAATCTATTTATTAGCCTATGTATCAGTCTGTAGGGATGTCAGCACTAGCATAGTGAATGTCAGTCTATCTACCAAGCCATGTAGCAATGCTAGTGTACCGAAAGGTCGTAAAGAAGGATTAGCTGTCGTGTTTCGCATTAAACAGGACAGCGCTAGCCGCGACTTCAACCCACTACTCGCCATTCGCGAATTTGCCGCGCCGGGGCTCGAATGCGGAGCAGAGCTGGCAGGTTGTAGTGACGTGCATGGGATCGGCCTTCAAGCTTGCTATCTGCTCTTTTGGCTGCTAACTATGGGTACTATTTTACGTGTGTGCAGCTCGCATGGTGGCGTGGGGCCAAGCAGTGGCGGCGGCGAGCGGTGGAGCTTCGTCACAGGTTCGTGGCTGCGTCGCATGCTCATCCGTGTTTCAGGTACTAATCGTGGCGTTCATTCGTGTGCAGGCAGCTGGGGTGCACCGCATGGGGACGGCGATAAACTTCGCGTCGATTGGGCTATATAGAGAATGCGGACTATCTGCTCTTTTGGTTATTGTGGATTTCACGCATTTTGGTGTGGACTAGCCATTTCGTGACGGTTTATACCAGAGCCCAGCACGTGTTGTGGTTGCACTTCGCTGTCTACTCGACTGGGTCCCTGCTACGAGCCTCATGACCTTTGCGTGCGTGGCGCGTGCCTCTAGGGGGCTGCAGTTGAAGTGGAGCGAATGCTGCGACCTGATTGATGGATCATCTGGGGTCGCGTGGATATGATTGGGCGAGACAATTGAAGTCGGATCAACAGCTGTGATTGGCATGGATATTCACATGCATTGACGAGACAGACCGTGCCCGTCCCAATCAGGTGTGACCGTCCCAACTGTGTTTGAGTATGGACCGTGTCCCTTCCAATCGAGTGTGCCCACTGTGATTGGCCGACGGCCCGTGCCCGTCCCACTCAAGTGTGACCGCTGCACATGCATATAGTTAAATGAAGTCAAACGAGGGAGGCGCTAGGAGAGCTACAGGGGTAGGAAGAAACAAGCAGGACAAAGACAACTAACTCAAATAAACTCACTTTCGGATTTCCTTCCTTCTGCTCACATCGACTACAAGCCTCATTCGCCACTCTCAATTGCACGAATAATCAGGGAGCGAAAAACAGTTTGAGCAGGTTTCGCGAGTTGAAAGACGAGTAGAGATATAGCAAGCGATTTGTCGAGCTCTTTTAACGAATGGCGGCTGCAGCTCCCGCCATTCGTTACAGTATTTCAAGCTACTAAATCATCTCTGTGCTGGCGTGCAATCACAAAATCGAGCGACCTTCGTTGGCCTGTTACCCTTGTTCATGCCTATGACGTAGAAACTGTCAACGCAGACAGTGTTCTAGGCGTGTCGGCGTGCTCGGTGCAGAGATGGCATGGTTGGTTTCAAAGTAAAGAAAGCGCTGAAGGAGTTGGAGAAAGAAGCGAACAGCTAGATGGCCGTGTGTCAATTTTGTTGGGCAATATGCTGAGTCCCACCCGTGTTTGTACATCTACGATCTGTGCAGTGCGCTTAAAGGTCGACTTCCTACACTACGAAACGCTTCCGTGGCTTTGACCTCTGCTTACTCGGAAAATTCTAGTAAGCATGCAAGGGAGGCTGCTCCTGCCGAGATTGCGGTCTATTACAATAAGTGCTACCTTTTTATTGTGGCCCTAACATGACTTGCAGTAGCAGTGGATCGGATTAGGCGTTTTTACCCTATTGACATGCTTGAATATTGGAGTCCGTTTGCTTTGGCGCCTAAGCCAAGCGCCATAGCCGCCCACGCCCACACCGGGACCGTAGACACCAGGACCGTAGACGCCGGGGGCATAGACGCCAGGTTCGTCCTCCGATAAGTGCTTGTACTCGTGTTGGCGCGCATTTACCGTCGATTTGACGTAGATAGCGTCGTCGGCAGGCGATATCACAGCGGTGTCAAACGCTTCAGCCTCTCCTTCAGGACAGTGTAGCCCTCACGCACCGATAGAAGCTTTATGTACAATCCTGCAGTCTGTCAGTGGCACGCCGACCTTGATCGTCACGACAGCGTCTCAGAGCGCGGGTAGCGTGGGTAGTTCGGCCATCATTGTCGTCCGTGGGCAGGTAGGTGTCTGTGGTGCTGACCAGTGGACGGCAAGGCGAAATGCATAGGTTTTGCACAACGACTTCTTTGTTTAGTCAAGACGATTTATGGGACGAATAGAGGGCGCAAAATACGTGAAGACGACAATAGTTCTAATCGTAGTTGTAATTATTTGCGGATACCTGGTCTGGTGCATGGTTAGCACCGATGGAGGCGACGAGCGGTGGCACAGGTTCGTGGCATGCACGGTGCATCCGGTGGTGCAACGGGTGCTTACTTATTTGTGGACTGTCAGCGTGCATGGTCGATAGCCAAGCAGAGAACTCGCTGAGCGTCTGAACGTTGGTTCGTGGCTGCGCACTGCACACTGCGCAGCATGGGGTGGTGAAGTATTGATCGTGCTGGCACTGGTTTTATGTGTGTACAAACAGCTTTCCGGTAATTGAGCAGCGCTACCAACGGGTGGAGGCGAGCGCCAACACAGGTTCGCAGCCTGTATGGGGTGTGCGTGTGTTGGTGATGCCTGGTGCTTACTATGTTCTGTGTGTGTGTGTGCTTACTGCGTATATGTTGGTCTGCAGCCTGGGCACTAAGCTCTCCATGCTGATTGTGGAGTCATGATCATGAACCTGTCTCACCACTGGCAGCTAAGCACTACACTCGCGATCGTATCAATTTCGGTAATCGGTATGCTAACCACGGTCAGGCTGCTGAAGAACAATATCAACGGCTCCGAGCTCTTCACGCATCAGCGCGCTCGCCACGTACATGACGGTCGCTTTTGTTGCCCCCCCGGCCCGACAGCATCACCTTTACCATGGACACGGTGATCCTAACCGAAGGTTGCTCCGATTAGTGACGACCCCCCCCCCCTCTTCCAGCTGGAGACCAGAGTGAAAAATGAAGGCTTCGTTAGTTAAGGAAAAATCGGGGGGGGGGGGGGGGAGCTCAACTACCGGGCAAGTGCAACACTAAAGCCGAAAGGAAGCCCCGCCATTCCTATGCATGCGCCGACTACGCAATTTGCACGTCGCCCATGATATCAACACCGAGCTGAAAGTTTTCAGCTACGCACTCCGCTAGCTCCTGGAGACCCATGCTGACGGAATCCCCATTTGAGATGTGGACGGACCAAACATATCGACCATCGATCTCGTCCCACGACCTCACTTGTCCAAGTTGGTAAGGTGCCCGGCTGCTGTCCGGCTGCACCGACTCCATCACGGTCGCGAACCAGCGCTTCGCCTCGCCCTCCAAGTGCGACGCGACTTCTTGGTACAGCTGATTCTCGTTCCACTCGACGCCCATGGTGACCGCCTGCCGACGCACCTCCTGACGCACCGTCTTGAGCCACATGCTCACGGGCATCGTGTCGTCAACCCCCTTGAATTTCGTCAGCTTCAGTGCTTTCGCCTTCTCACGGACGACGATGGGTGCCGCCACCGCTCTCATTCTCGCTGCTCCAAGTGTCGGTGGTGGGGTCGATGCGCGTCCAGGACCAGCGCCACCGTGTCCGCCGCCACCTCCTGTTCCTGTCAAGTCGACATAGTCGCCGGAGAAGCTGGTGGCCGCCTCACGTTGACCAACCCGCTCACCGTGACCACCGTCACCCCCGTGTCCGTCATCGCCGTGTCCGCCGCCACATCGACCTCCGTCTCCCGCTGTCGGCGTCGTGTCGCCTCCAGTCAAGTTGCTTCTAGCCACGTCGCCACTGCTGCCGCTGGTGGACCGTTCGCCGTCATTGCCACCGGCCGGCTCACGACCACTGCCAGCTCCTTCGTCTCGTCCGGTCCGACCACGGCCACCTCCAGCTTGTCCGTCTCCACCCGGGTGTCCACTTCCAGCACCACCGCGTCCGTCACTCGCCGATCCCAGCGGCGTGTCGCCCGACGTGCTGGTGATCACCGAGGATTCCAGTGTCAGCGTGCTGCTGTCGCCGGTGTCCACAGTCACCTCCGTCGTCTCCTTCGCTCTTCTCGCTGCCTCCGCAGCCGCTCGCTCCGCAGATGCAGCGCGTCGCTGCGCTCGTTCGTCACGTGCCACCACGTTCGTAGCCATTCTCTTAGCTCTAACACAATTAATCACAATCATCTCAGTCAGTTCCCCATTCCTCACGCTCTTCTCATCTAATCCTCATTCCCTTCCAATTCTCTTCCACGCTGCGGGGTTTGCCCACGGAAAGCTCAGCTCCCATGCCAACTCCTTTTGACAAGCCCAGAGAGCCTCTGTTTATGACCACCATGTAGGAAGTTCCCGGGTCTGCCCCCATCCCGGTCCCCCCTTACAACAGGTAGATAGATCCCGTCCAGCCCGACCACCCGTAGTGCTCCGCGTCTACCACAGGTAACCAGGTCCCGTCTAGCCCGGTCGTCCATAGTATTGCACGCGTCCACCCTTACGAACTTACACCGTTGTTGTTGTCGCGTCCACGCCTAGGTAGGCCAGTATAGCGCCGACTGCCAGCAGGTACGAGGCAGTACGATGATCAACCAGACAGGCACTGGCCCCTTCACCAGGCGTGTCGGGGATAGGGACGGCTGGGAGGGGAAACACAATCGACCTGGGCTCCGGCAAGCCACAGGCGACCCCCACCGGACATGCAAATAGGTCGAACAGCATCTCCGTCACGGCACTCAGGCACGCCCAAGCATTCGAAAGCGCTGTCCTTCACGGCCAAGGTGCTGCCAGGAGTGCACCTCGCGCCTCCACGGCTTCTCTCCGTGGTCCCGCCACCCTACTCAATACATCGCCCTCATCTGTGCACTGCCCGCCACTATCGCTTACCTTATGCCACTTACTCCCGTGTCTAGCCGACACTTCCCTGGTCGCAAGACACTTCCCTGGTACTAGGTCACAGGAACCCGCATTTCGGGGTAACTGAGTGTATTACAAGTCTTGACTCGTTACTATCCAGCAACAAATCGCAACTGAGGGTCGAGCTGCCACACCGCAGCTCGTTGTCCCCACTTACTTCTAACCCCCGTCGATCTACCCTATCCTATCCACTCGGCGCCTTCTAGCCTGCTTGGACCTCTCCCTCTCGGGCCCTCATCTCCTTCCTCGTGGCCTCCTGGCCTCACACTCGCTCTCCAGCGTCGCCTCTCCCCTCTGCATACTCGTTCTCTGTCCTGTTCGCAGGTCACCTCGCCTTGCGATCTTCTGCAGCCGTCAACTTCAACTGCTACCTCCTGTCGCACGTAACGGTAGCCCACTGGCTCGCTTCCGTCACCACTAGCCGCCGTCCCCACACTCTTCGTCACCAACTGCTGCTCGGTGTGCCACACCAGCTACTCCGTCAAGTCGATCACGACCTGGACGCTGTTCGGCAGATCCTGCTCGTGTTCCTCAGAGGAGGGACGAGCCACCACACTACAGTGCTACAAACCTGTTATCCACAGGCATCTCCTGCGCCTGCTTCGCAGCCGCAGCATCTGCCTGCCTCCGACTGCTACAGTCGGCCATGACAGGCATCTCAAAAGCTGCAGTTGTGACTTAACACCCAATGCGCAGTGCCACAGGCAGTTCGCCAACTACTGTATCGGTCACTAAAGAATATGCAATGGCTTCTATCTAAATTAGAGGTAGACGCGTCACTTTACTTAGCGAGTATTAGGTTGTGTTACGTCGGCATCACAGAGGGCCGCATCTGAAGTTCAGATTCCGAGCATCCTTGGTCTAAACTATCTGTCTGAAATTAACCGATGCAGAAATTGCACTTCCATGATACACAACACTAAGGAGAAAAATGGTCTCCCAGCCAAAGCACAGCAACCTTGTCGATTTGCGCGGCCAGATATTTTCAACCAAATTAAACGTTGAGAAGAAAGTTTTGGTGAAAGTACATAATTGATTTAAAATAAATTCTAGTAAGGGTTAATGCGCATGCCGTACGTAACGACGACATGAGCATGAGACGCATCCCATCATCGAGTAAGTAATTCGAGGTGAATTTGCACGAGATCAACCTGCTTCTCGCTGGTACACGCAGATACTGGCCATACTGAATTCTGGTGCATTTCCCCTTCGTCTCGCTATCTACGAACAATCAGACACTCTAACTCTCGAAGACAAACAAAGCGCCACCACTTGCTGATGGTCTTGTCTCTCTTTGCCACCGTAGTAGACGGGTTGGCTGGAAGCCCCTCAGTGCCCGTGGGAGACGCTATCTACACTCCACGACAAAAATATATGGACACCTACGTTGGTGTTCATATCTCAGTAACTACTGGGAATCTGCAGACGCTATTTAGATATGTGCTACCAATCAGACTAACGAATCGATAGGACGTGGCGCGAAACCGCGAATCGCAGCGCATCTATAGGCTCATATAGAGATAAGTGAATTTAGCACCGCGACAAATGAAACAATTGGCGGGAACCCGGGTTCCCGCAAATGATACCGACCAAATCGCGAATTATTTATTTAATTTTTGGCCTCCAAATTGGTTCCCTCGGGGCAAGTTAAACCCTCATACCTAAGTGCTGTCGATGAACAACTACTCTCGAAATATGCCACCGGTACTGAATATACCCAAATATCATACCTTACCATGTCCACGTTTATCTTTCATGAGCAGGAGGATAGCGATGAGACCGGGAAGCACTGTACCGCTGCACCAGGCAAGTGACTGGATTTTCGTGGAGAGACACAGGACGAGGACGAAGGTAAATTAACCTTCCGTTCCCCTACTGAGCTTTAGCTGCGTTCTATGTAGGTCATAGACCAACACTTCAATGCATTTGCTCATACATGTGCACCGGTAGTTTTGGGGGAACCGGGGTCCCGATGGGTACCCGAATTGTTTCAAATGTTATGGATAGCAAATTATATTGGATTTTGTATGGGGGTGAGTGATGGTCAGGGTGGACCTAGTAATGCGTTTTGTCGCCAAGCTTCTTGGCTACCTCGAAGCACCGCTTATCCATCGAGTCTAGAAGCGTTGTTATTTCCTGCATAGTGACGGAGTCCCAAGCTTTCATGACGGCGGCTGTGAGCTCGGGTACCGAATGGTACTGCTTCCCGGGGCTGTACACCTTGTCCGCTAGCAAGGCCCACACGTTCTCGATTGGGTTCAAATCAGGAGAGCGTGCGGGCCATGCCAGCACCGTGACGCCAATCTCTTTGAAGAAGTCCGTAGTCTCGTAGGAAGCGTGGATGGAGGCATTGTCTTGCATGAAGACGAAGTCGGTGCCGTAGTTCCGGTGGGCGAGCGGCAACATGTGCTCCGACACCGTCCAGATATAGTGGTGCGACGCCTGGCGACCTTCCAGCACTACAAGCTCCGACTTGCCCTCGTATCCGATTGCACCCCAAACCATGAGCGAGCCGCCGCCGTCCTGACGGCTCAGGTAACGGCGCGGAGGTCGACGCAGGTCCCTCCAATAATGCTTGTACCCGTCCGGTCCGTCTAGGTTAAAAAAAAATTCATCAGAAAAAGTAATTAGCTCCCAAACTTTTTCCTTCTGAGCAGCCAGCAGCATGCGCTCGGCAAACTCAAGGCGAGCTGCCATGTGCTCAGGGGTTAATCGCAACGTCCTGTCCATTTTAGCAAAGGTGAGGAAGTCCACACGAGCCAGCAGACGCTGCACAGTCCGTAGACTGCACGACAGGCTGTACGTTGCCTTCAGCTCCGACGCTGTGTAGTCCCCTGTAGCTGCCGCCCTGACCACCTGGCGCGTTTGCCGCTTCGTCAACGCCTTCGGGCGCCCTTGTTTCTTCGGCTTCGCGTCGCTCTTCTCGTTCAGCACGTTGAGACCCCTTGGGGCGAGCGTTGCACCCGCCGTGCAATATCGCGCACCCCAAGGCCCGCCTCCGAGAGGCCCTTGATCCTCCCGCGCTCCTGCTCCGTGAAGCTTGCCCCCCCTTCCCATACAATTGCTTAATGAGAGCCAGTGAGCTCTTCCTGACCATCACTCACCCCCCCCATACAAAATTCAATACAATTTGCTGTCCATAACATTTGTCGCGGTGCCAAATTCACTTATCTCTATGTGAGCCTATAGATGCGCTGCGATTCGCGGTTTCGCGCCACGTCCTATCGATTCGTTAGTCGGGTTGGTAGCACATATCTAAATAGCGTCTGCAAATTCCCAGTAGTTGCTGAGATATGGACAACAACGTAGGTGTCCATATATTTTTGTCGTGGAGTGTATCTGTGAGAGACACCGGTGATGCCTCTGCGACGAGGTACTTAAGAGCTAGCGCTGTGGACGATGACACGGACGGCGAGGATAGAGCAGGGCTGGGCGGGGAACCTTACTCACCTCTTCGAAAGTAACCCCAGACAAGCTTCAAAAGTGGCTCGACGAAGGGAAATCGGCGGAAACAGTTTTCGCACGCATGCGTCTGAAAAAGGCGGGGGGGTGGCTGCTATACCGTCCCCAATTCACGGAGTGGCTCATTTCCTTCCTGCGATACGAAAGCACGTTGGGGCAAAGGTGGTCGTTCTTGATTAATGAGGCGAGCCTCGGTGAGGGTCATGTAATGAGCCGAGATGAGGCAGCCTAGGGAGTGGTGTGGTGGGTGTCGAATCGAAGCGCGGGCGATTGGTCGAGCCGCAGCGCTGGTGTCTTGGTCGTCGGAATGCCGCTTGTGTCCGAGAGGTGAAAGCGCGACTGGCCGGCCGAGACGATCAAGAACGACTACGTATCGATTACTACTCTGTGCGATGTGGCGGAGCAAAAACCACTGGGCCCTCAGAACCGAAGGTTCCTCGGACCCCCGGGTGAAAACCGCTTATCGGACAGTCTATCCTAATCATAGCCATATGGCTCTCCAGAATGAGCGGGTCGCTGAACTTGATGCAGCTGAGCGCGAACCATGACTGGGCTCCAGTTGTGGCAACGTGGCTTTCTCCTCTTGTGCAGGAAAACTTTATTTCCACCTCGCTTCTGAGGCGAGGCGGGTGAACGCCTTGATCGTCCAGGTGTATAGCGCACTATGCCGGACCGAATCGGTTCGGAGTACCAGAGATATCCGCTGCAATCCGATAGTCCTCGGAGCACAGGATGTGAATCGGGGGCTGGGAGGGTCGCTTGGACTTGGCGTGTGTCCTTGTGTCAACCCCTAAGGTATCGTTTACCTTTGGCGGACCGGACTTCACCGAGTGAGTTGTTGTAAATACAGAATCGAGTCTGCTGGGTGTGTTCCTGAAACAAACTACACCGAATGAACAGAAGGTCAGACCGAATCGAAGGGACCACAGTCAGATCCACAATTCAGTATAACCAACACACAGAAATACAATGCCGAGCTAAACGTCACAAAATATACAGCCACCACTTATTCTTGAAGACCCTTGGGTGGGGGGTCTATACGCCAGTCAACTTACGAGCCGTCACCCAAGGCACTGGTCAACCCTGGATGCACACTCACTCACGCGCACCACCCTCACAGAGTGAGGGAACAATACAAAATATAAGTCAATCCTATCACACAGTAGTCGATCAATTCAGTCTCGGGGGTGACTACCTCTACCGCCTAAGACACACAGGATGGAATATGAAATGGATGCCCGGATAGAGCACGCAAATTGGAAATAAAGCTCTCACAGATCACTCCAGGGCGCGACACCCCAGTCCCTGCCGACTTTGCCTTGGTACCTTTGAGTCCCCACTACACCAGTGCTCGCAACACCAGTGAGGCCTTGAAACGTCCTCCGTTTTAAGATCGCACGAAGGCGGATCCCACGTATAAGCTCTTGAAGACGTCAATGTCAGGGGGAATTCCCAGCCCGAAGGAAGACGTCCGCGTGTTCTCGGCAAATTGGTTTCTGTTTGATCTTACGTTTGGCTAGCTATCTGCTTCACTTCACTGACTTCTAATAAAGGTTTCACTATACTTGACTTGTCTTGGATATGCTTCGACCTTGTGCACGGGGCTTCGATCTTCTTGCACTGAGCTTGGGTATGCTTGACTTGGCTTGGTTATCGGGCAACTTGTCGACGTCAACGTTCCTTCGGCAACACTCATCATCTGGCGACAGAGGTACGTGGGTACGGCGTCTCATCAAATCCGCACTGGACCTCTGCGTCTAATCACGTGAGCCATCCTGTGTCGCTTGACGTTCTTGGTCGATCCGGTCCTGGATTGCTGCCACAGTGCATTCACGCACAGCAGTATTGGACTTGTTGTTGGTGCGGTCACGATCCAGTACGGGCACCAGGGGTCAGACCGAGTTGACCATCCGGTCCGGCCTCATTCGGTACGGCACCTTGGCATCCGGTGCGTCGCTACCGGGTGCACCACAATCCCGTCCGGCAAACAGTGTTCTTCGTCCAGCGAGGTTTGGGCGCATGGGAGCATGGTGGGCACGGTGAACTTGGGGGTTGGTCCGATGTCTTGACGGAGCCAATGCAGGCAGCAGCCAGGATACGTTCACTGGCTGCATTTGCGCGCCTTAGGCTCATCCTGCGGTCAGGGAAGTCGGCGGACGGACAGGATGTGTTACTCCACACCGAATATGAGCGCTCATCCGGTGGGCACATCTCCGATCCTGTGAGCCCATGCTTACTGCAAGCACCGGGCCCGCCAAATCCACCATGCGCATCCACTATCCACATGCAACACTCCACGTCACTGGATATCAGTCCACTGCGACCAGTCACAGTCAGTTGACGATTCGGTCCTTCCGGCAGTCCAACACGAGTACGGCGAAAAATCTTCTTCCACATCGTGTCACTTCGCTTGATGGAAATACCGAAGTACGTCGACGATGCGAACGCCAAGAGCCCAACGAAGAAAATGTCCGCGATCTCGACCCTGACTGCTTACTGCGGCGACGCTGCGCTCTACAAGACGATTAAATCTGCCAAGACTTTCACCAAAAAGAACGAGCTCGCCAAGAGATTGGAGAATGAGCAAATGCAGCACTGGCTGGATACAGCAAAAACTCCCGACGACGTCTTTCGTGTGATGAGCCTCGACAAGGTGAAGGAAAACATCCTCACCAATTCCGAATTCGTCGCTTGGGTCAAATATGTGGACGACTTTAACGCAAAGTATCCCGACAAGCCAGCGTCAACGGTGCCGATGCTCATCAAGTAGTACAATAATGACGTTGCTCTGTTCAGAAGTGCTGAGGCGGCGATGAGCGTGCAAGGAGTCAAAGACATCGCCACCAAGTTGGAAGATCAATTGAACCAGTTTTGGCTTAACAGTCGGACATCACCTGATAACGCGCAATGATCGAGATGGCGCTGAAGAAGCCAAGCGCCGTGAACATTGCGAACCAGTTACAGAAGGAAAGGTCCAAGTACTGGCTAGACAGCAAGGAACTTCTTCAGCAGGTGTTCCGCGATCTGAATCTGGAGCATGCTGGCACAGCGATCCAAATTTTGAAATCTGGGCCAAGTATCTGAATGTAGAAAAAACGACGATGATTGATGGCCTCCGGACGAACTACTTCGAAATCAGACTGCTGGAGATACTTAACACGGCGAAGAAGGACCCAAGTACGGGGAAGCTGGCGACGAAGTTGCAGAATGCTCTCGTCGACAAGTGGGTGGCTGAAAAGGAACCGCTGGTAGTCCTTAAAGACAGGTTTGCCTTTATGCCAAGCGGCACTGAAATGCTCAAGAAGTATGCCGCTAAACTGAATGCGCTGTCAGGAAACGCACCATAACCAGTCTTGAGGGGAAGTTAGAGCGAAGCTCAATCCTCAATTTCGATGGATTTTCTAAAAAAAAAGCTCAAAGGTCCGTGCTGCAACCAATCTCATTCCCATTGTTATCTTTACTTCTGATCGTACCCTATAGTGTTAAAGAACTTGTTGACGATAGAGCCCTACGCGAAACTGTATAACAAGAATAGCACTAGTTAAACGCAGTTTAGGCTCCTGTCGACGTATTTCATCTGATGAAGCTGGATTGGGAGAGAAGAAAAGCATTTTCAAAACCCTTCCCAGTGTTGTTGAACCCAAATTATTCGACTGGGGTCGCTGCATAATGCAGACGCATGCGCGCGCTTTCAACGACACACCGGTCGGTCCCCGTCCAAAGACTCGAGCATTCAGCACGCTAGATCACTACCGCATCAATCACAGGCAGACACCAGCCAGGACACTCGACCGAATTGTCCGCGGTGTTGTCAATGTCACCATCCACCAGCAAGCAAGCAAATCAAATCAACCATCGCCCACGAAAGATGCACTCCGACCCAACATTCTGCAGACCCGTGCTCGGAACGGAGACCGCGACCACGACACAGCACGATCCCGCTCGACACAACTAAACTTGCGACCAACACGGCACCAGCGACACCAATCAACCAACACACCAACAGACCAAGCCGTACACCACACCTCTCCAGCACAACATGAAGTTCGTCGCCTTCGCAATCACCGCCATCGTCGCCATGGCCAACGTTGTCGCCGGCGCCGACACGATGCCGGCCGTCATGCCGCCGACCAAGGCGCTCGAGGTGGCCCAGAGCGCCTCTGCACCTAGCGGCGTCGAGTTCACGGGCTCCGTCGAGAGCATCGAGCAGCCTGCCGGTGCCCAAGAAACCATCAACGCGCTGCAGACCGCGCACGACGCAGCCAACGACGACAAGAAGGAGCACTTCGGCTGGGGAGCCGGCTACGGGTGGGGCCTCGGCGGCGGATGGGGCAACTGGGGAGGCTGGGGCGGCTACGGACCCTACCGCTTCGGCTTCCGCTGCGGCGGCGTCCCCGGATGGGCCTATCCTCTTCACTACTGGACGCTTTTCGCAACTGAGGTTTTAATCAAGAGCTGCAGACTTGGCGTTCCCCTCGGGGGACTCTTCTTTTGCTGATGAGACGCATTTCAATACATCTTGATCCGTGTTACCCAGCGCAATACGCCACCCCACCCCCAGCTTTCGCTATCACACTCGAAACCAGTTGCAACTGTTCCCTGCTGATCAACACTGCCGTCATTTGATCTCCGTGCTCACCTGCATCAGTTGGCCTTGGCCTCCATGACGGCAGCAACTGATATTCACATCGCAACACAGTAGCAAAATTGATAACACTCAGCTCGTAAGCGTAGCTTACCAACGCAAGGACTCGTCTCACCAGGCTGCAAGTATCTTGCCACTTGGCTGGCCCATGTTGAAGCGGTATCTTGAACTTGGGCGCCGAAAACCACGCACCGGACGTACAATTACACGGAGCAAAATATGCTGTTCACCCGAAGTGGGGGTGGGGGGCGAGCACATGCAGCAAAAGTTGCCATTGAGTCCATCCAAGTTTCGTCAAGTTCTCCCCAAGCCGTTAATCTTGATCTTGAAGCTCAAAATCAATTAACCAACGAGCTTGACTTGGTGGCAGTGGACACGCAGCTTCCCAGGTACTCTCCTTGAATGACTACACCATACAGTTGACAACCAACACACCGTCGGCCCCGGTCCGACACAACGCAATTTGCTCCTGAGAGCGAACTCGAGACCCGAAAGCCGATCCAAGTCTTCCAAGAACCGGAACACCAAGACGATGAAGGTCACCGCTCTCGTCGTCGCTTCGGCGCTCGCCATAACGAGCGTCTTTGCCGTTGAGGCGCTTGCTCTCCGCGCTTTGGCCGACGCCCCCCCCCGCTCCGCCCGCTCCTGAAGCCAACGCGCAGCCGCCTGCCGGCATGCCGAAGGAAGGCAGCGACCCGAAAGAGTGGGGCTGGGGCGGCGGCTGGGGATGGCGCCGTCCGTGGGGATGGGGATGGTAAGCAAGTGGCCAAGCCGTTGACCAAGGAGCACGACGTCGTGAAGCGCTAGTGATCCCGTGCACTCTCCAAGACCTCAAGCTGCTAGCCGCTCCAGCCGATGCAACCCGTCCACCGCCACCTCCTGCTTCGTATGCGCTCGTCCGCGCAGCCGTCTCGATCGGGCGAGTTGAGTAGCGTCTTGCTTTCGTTAACTGAACTCCGAATCCAAACCACTTTGCTGTCATGCTGTTGTTTTGTGTTGCTTCTTTGAGTCACGCCAGCTGCGTAACGACATCGGTGCGGCCCCGAAGCTTGGCACCTTTGCTGGCCTTGGTTCGCCTCGCCTGCCGCGGTGGCGATGTGGCCGGCCAGCACAGCCCTTACTTACGTCTTCAAGGTGCAAGCTGTTGCTAAGTTACATGCACCACCATGGTTGAAGGCGCCTTTTTTGGTGTGGTGTACGCCACGGTCCGCGCGGTTCGGGGACCGGTCCGGGACCGGTTCGTCCGATTGTCAGCGCCTCGGCCAGTCATTTCGGGTCGGGCTCCCCGTGAGCCCCAGGTTTATCTTGGTAATTGTATACCGCATAGCAGCTGTCTTGCCGTTTGTATGGCGTTGGAGCTGCTGGGCGAGTGCCGCTCGGCAACCTCGACGGCCATTTATTCTTTGGGACAAATCGGAAGAAAGAATAATGGTGTCGCTGAAGCTTCAGAAGCGGTGCGTGTGAAGCTCTAATACAATACAGGGTCCAGCCACAGGGTCCAGCCCTCAGGTCTACAGGGAACGAAAGCAGGATGCTGACGCGTGTGTGTATGCTGCTCCCCCCTCTACAGTCTGGCCGCGTCCGTGCTCAAGTGCGGCAAGCGCAAGATCTGGCTCGACCCTAACGAGTCGAACGAGATTGCCCTGGCCAACTCGCGTCAGAACATTCGCAAGCTCGTGAAGGATGGCTTTGTCATCAAGAAGCCGCAGGTGATCCACTCGCGCGCCCGCTTCACCAAGCGAAACGAGGCCAAGCGCAAGGGCCGCCACACGGGCATCGGTAAGCGTCGCGGTACGGCCAACGCTCGCCTGCCCTTCAAGGTGATCTGGATGCGCCGCATCCGTGTGCTCCGTCGTCTCCTCCGCAAGTACCGTGAGGCCAAGAAGATCGACAAGCACATCTACCACGAGCTGTACATGCGCAGCAAGGGTAACCAGTTCAAGAACAAGCGTGTGCTCATGGAGACCATCCACAAGATGAAGGCCGAGCGCCAGCGCGAAAAGACGCTCAAGGAGCAGTCGGAGGCCCGCAAGGAGAAGGCCAAGTCGGCCCGCGAGCGCAAGGCCAAGAAGGCCGCTGCCCCCGCCGCCAAGAAGGAGTAAACTTCTCCGTCTCTTGTAGTCGACTGACCGACCGCCCAGGTCACATGAAGGAATAACATTCTTCCCGAAGATGCCCGCATCTTTTGTCCCACCAAATTCGCAGTTCAGTCGTCGACCACCTCGTTGTGTTGCGTCTTCCTTACCAGGTTTTTGCTGGACCCTTCACGAGTGCACAAAGGTTGAAGACCTGCATGGCTCTTGTTTTCGTGCGCTTATTGAGCCACACTTGATGCGTGCAACGACGCTTTATTCATGCTACAGAAGTCAAATGGCGTGCTTTGAAGGCACTGACGTTGCCAGAGCACCTGTGGTCTGAAGGCTGAAACAACAAGTCTTTGCTTCTGCAAACATCAAGACAACATCTTAAGTCCATACGCACATGTATTGATTGATCTACACAGAGACCGCTTCCTCTACTCGGTCATCTAGTTCGAAAGCAGCGCCTTGCACACGCCCTCGACCAACTCGTCCTCGGGCTTGCTGTCAGGGGCGGGGAACTCGAACGTCGAGCCGGTGATGAGCTCGTAGAGCAGGATGTAGCGGCGCGAGAGCTCGCTCACGAGCTCCTTGGGGGCCTCGGGCAGGACGGCGTCGTTGTACGGGTCGCAGTGCTCCTTGAACCACAGACGCAGGAACTCCTTGTCGATGTTCTCGGGCGACTTGCCCTCGGCCAAGCGCTGCTCGTACGAGTCGGCCAGCCAATAGCGGCTCGAGTCGGGCGTGTGGATCTCGTCGATGAGCAGGATCTCGCCCGTGGCCTCGTCGACGCCGAACTCGTACTTGGTGTCCACGAGGATCAAGCCGCGCTTGGCGGCCTGCTCCTGGCCGAACGCGAACAGCTCGAGCGTCTTCTTCTCGCAGAAGTCCCACTGCTCCTGGGTCATGCGGCCGCTGCTCACCACCTCCAGACCGGAGATGAGCTCGTCGTGCTCGTCGTCCTTGGTCGTGGGGGTCACGAGGTTCTCGGGCAGCTTCTGGTGCTGCTTGAAGCCGTCCGGCAGCTTGTGGCCGCAGAAGTCGCGGCTGCCGTTCTTGTAGTTGGTCCACATGCTGGTGCTGGTGGAGCCCGTGATGTAGCCGCGCACGACGAACTCGACGGGGAAGACCGTGCACTTGCGGCACAGCATGGCGGACGGGTGTGGCACGCCCAGCAGGTGGTTGGCCACGATGTGCTTGGTCTGGTTGAACCACCAGACGCTCGTGAGCGTCAGCACGCGGCTCTTGAAGGGCACGGAGGCCAGCGCGCGGTCGAAGGCCGACTGCCGGTCCGTCGACACGAGCAGCACGCGGTCCTCGAACACGTACACGTCGCGCACCTTGCCCGTGATCTGGCGGAAGGCCGGCAGCTCCTGGCTCAGCGTGGCCAGCGACGTGGCGGTGAGCGCACGGCCGCTCTCGATCTGGGGCAGGTACGTCTGCGTGCGCTTCTCGACTTCGGCGACGACGGCGCTCATGTTGCTGCTTCTGCTGCTGCTGCTGTGGTGATGGATGATACAACTGATACTGCTGGAGGGCCTTTTGGCTGGCCAGCGGCCACGCTTGAACACGCGCTTTTTGGTTGGTGGGATGTCCCCCGAATGTCCCCCGAAGCGCAGGTGGTCCGAGTGCTTGCCGTTTTCCACCAAAATTTGCCTTCGAACAACACTGTGAAAGGCTCTATCAATGCTGCTGGCGTTTCCTCACGCAGTGTGGCGCGCCGTGTAGTGTCGAGAGAAGACGCCATCGCCTGGCGGGCGCACTGTGTGGCTTGGTGGTGCTTGAGGCGCCACGCTAGCGAGAGTATTAATAATGTACGGCCAGGTGGAGATGTCTGCTCAATGCCGCGACATGTGACTGCGACGTTGAGGCCTCGCTGCGAGCAACGGGAAGGACTTCTCAGCGTGGTAGGCATGGGAAGCAAATCAAGAGCAGAGCGGACGCACGCGTATGGTATGTTTCTCTGTATTGGTACGATAGTTATTTGAACAAGACGACGTGGCTCGAATAGATAGCTCAAAATGCTCGAGGCCACGGGCGGTGGCGGGCACGGATGAAACAGCGACTCTCGGTGCGTCTCGACGACCAGCTGCCGGTGCTCGGCGATGTGTTGTTAGTCCGTAGACGCCTCTACGACGCACTCGAGTTGGACAGCGACCTCGCGCTCGTGCGCTGCGCGCTGAAAGGCCCCGACGATGGCGAAGTAGCTCAGCTGTTTCCTTCTGCGCGGCTTCTGCGCCCGTTCACGATCGCGGCGGCGGCGCTTCTCTAGCTCGAACTTGATGCGGTTGCTGACCGCCAGCAGGGCGTTCGTGGTCACGGGTGCGGCGGGTGCCTTGACTCGCTGCTGCTCCTCTGCGTCCGCTTCCGTTTCCTCCTCGATCGATCCGAAGTCGAAGCGCGCGCGCTTGTTCGCGCTGCGCCCGTGGACTGGCGAGACAGCCGGCGTGGGCGGCGCGAAACTCTCGAGGTCGCGCTTGAGCGACACCTTCAGCGCCGTCAGCGCCGCCGACAGGTTGACGCCGTCGGCGGATGAGGTTGACGCGGCAGAAGGCGATGCTGGGGCAGTCGCCAGCGGCGTGGTCAGCGGCGAGCGCATGGAGCCACAGGCCGGCACGATCGGCGACGCGGCAGCGAAGAGGCTCTTGCGCTTCTTGGAGGTCTGGTTGATCGGCATGGTGTCCACCTGCACTTCCATTACGTGGGGACAGGAGACTGTGTATGCGGCTTGAGTTACGTGAGCCCGGCGCTGCTTGGTGAGATTGCACGGGTACAAACAGGGCAACGGGACTCCGCTGCTACTGCTGCTGTTGCTGCAAGAAGACGCAAAAGAAGTTGCGAGTGGACAAGAGTGGTGGGTGCAACACGCCAGTGGGGTCGAGCTCAGTGTAGGTGGCTTCGGTGGGTGGACCGCGCTCACGTGGCTCTTCCTCGAAGGCTTTTCTTCTGCTCTCAGCTGAAAGGCTGCCAGGAGAGCACTTGCGCCCTGGCCGGCAAATTCAGCAATGATCGAGCCATCGGCAGAAGAGAAGTGAGAGCGGAGCAGAGAACGCACTCGGAATCGAAACGCCAGCCCACAGACTCTCCATTGGTCGAAAGCGGTCATTCAACGTCGCCTTTACAACCAATGCGGAGCGCCACGCGCGACTCATTTCGGCGAATCGGACGGCGGCGACCGGCCGAGGACGAGCTGGTGGCTCTGCAAGATTGCACTCGGCGTCTCTGTCCGAGCCGCGCAGACCAGTCCTGCGTCAGGACCAGTCAAGTTGCCGCCGGCTAGTGCGCACATGCATGGTGCGCCGCGGGTTCAACTCATGCACCCCGGTCTGACCTGCCTGCCTGCCGCCAGGCTGGCTGGTCAGCAGCGGCCTGAGACGCAGCGCCGCGGGTGGTTACCGTTCACACAAGTGAAGCTGCCGCGGTGGCCGTTTGTACCGACAGCGAGTTGAATTTGGGGCAACTTTGGCGGCAAACGCCTTCCTGCCCGCGAATGCACTTCGAGGTCGGCGCTCACAACGAAGAACTCGGAAGTACCACGGCCGCTTGATTCTTGTGGCGGCAAATCGAAGACTGACGGCGATCGACCTCGATCGATGCCGGCCCATTGGCAACATCGGACTTGCTGGCCGATTGGCAACATTGGACTTGCGCCACCCGCTGCAATTGCACTCGTCCAATGCATAGTATTGGACGGAGCGCTATCGCCCTGCGTCACCTCAGCGGCTTCCTTCTTATGCGATCGGTAGCATATGTGTGACGTTGGTGGCGGGCCGGTGGCGCTAGTCGAGTTGAGCCCGTGAAACGCAATAGCCAATTGGAACGCAATATCCTGCGAAGGCGCATCATTTAACACGCTTACAAACGCCAAGTGCGGACCTGCGAGACCAGATCGCGCCGCGATCTTGCATTTCAGCGCGAGCGCCCATACTGAGCCCAAGTGAGCGACCAACTTGAAGCCGCTTCAGCTTTCGGCGCGCTTGCACACGTAAACGGCAGGCTCCCTCGCACTTCCGAACGTGAAGCGTCAGCCGCACTCCTCGATCCGCGCCAAGAGTCCCGCATCGCTACAGCCCTCCACCTCTACCTTTAGTCACACCTCCTTACCCCAGCCAATATGAGCGAGGAAGCGACCAACAAACGTACGACCAACAGGCTCCGCCAGCAACACTGTCAATAGGCTGGAGATGCACTGACGCATACTCCTCTCTCTGTCTGCAGCGACGTCGGGCGTGGTGTCCTTCGTGACCGGCGGCTTCGGCGGTACGTCTCGCGTCTATTACATCGCTTCAGTAGTGAACGACTGAGGCCGCGGACACTGACGCGCGACTGACGTGTGCATGACAGGCATGTGCCTCGTGGCAACGGGCCACCCGCTCGACCTCATCAAGGTCAACATGCAGACGCAGCCCAAGCCGCTGCCCGGCCAGCCGCCCATGTACACGAACGCCGTCGACTGCGCCCGCAAGATGGTCGCCAAGGATGGGGTACGACACTGTCTGTCTCCAGCGTTCTGCTGCCAAAGCTGAGCAGGAAGATACTAATTTGCTGTGTGATCCTTCTTTTATCCTATTGACAGGTCCGTGGTCTGTACCGCGGTATGTCGGCCCCGCTGGTGGGCGTCACCCCCATCTTCGCCACGTGCTTCTGGGGCTACGACATGGGCAAGCTCATTGCGGTGGGTGCACTATCATCTCATTGTGTCTAGCATCCTTGCTACTGAGTTCTGATCAATTGCAATGTTGTGCAAACCACCTGCAGATCAAGGCGTCGGGCCAGTCGCCCACGGCTCCGCTGTCCATGGGGCAGATCATGTTCGCCGGTGGATTCTCGGCCATCCCGGCCACTGTGGTCATGGCGCCTGGCGAGCGCATCAAGTGCTTGCTTCAGATCCAGGCGCAGGCTGTGGAGCGCGGCGAGCCCAAGCTTTACGACGGCATGGTTGATTGCGCCAAGAAGCTGTACCGCACGGGCGGCCTGTCGAGCATCTTCCGCGGCTGGGAGGCCACTCTGCTGCGTGACGTCCCTGGGTAAGTGGCTCCGCAGTTACCTGTCGTTGCTGCAAGTTGCAGATTGTCGATGACTAACAGTCTACTGCGTTATACGTGCTGTTGCCATTGTGCTATTTAGCTCTGTTGGATACTTCGGCGGTTTCGAGGCAATCAAGCGCGGCCTGACGCCCAAGGGCAAGGACCCATCGGACCTGAACGCCTTTCGAGTGTTCGTCGCTGGTGGCTTTGCGGGTATCATCAACTGGGTCATCGCCATCCCGCCCGATGTCATCAAGTCGCGCATCCAGACCGCGCCGGAGGGCACGTACCGCGGCATCGTGCACTGCTTCCAGTTGCTCATGAAGCAGGAGGGCCCTGGCGCTCTTTTTAACGGCGTGGGCCCCGCCATGGCTCGCGCGTTCCCCGCCAACGCCGCGTGCTTCCTGGGCGTCGAGTTCTCCAAGAAGTTCCTGAGTTTCTTCGGTTTCTACTAAGCTCGAGTAAGCAAAAGCGTTCGATAAATACAACCAGCCAACGCTTCTGCAGTTGAAGATCGATTCTGTGCCTCCGATGGGGAAGGTCTACCTTGAGAGGTGGAGCTCTCACTTCAGGAGGCTCTTGCGAGAGAATGCGTCGTTGATCTCGGCGCGCGGCTCGTCCGTCCCGCGGTACAGCGTGTTGCTGTAGAGCTCCACGACGTCCCTGTAATGGTCAACACAAGCACAAAATACACAGGGAAGGTGTCACTCATCGAGCACTTGCCTTGACACAGCGCCACGCAGCAACACTGATAGCGGTCGAAACGTACGAAATGCGCTTGAGCTCGGCCTTGGCGTTGGCGATGGCGGTTTCCTGCTCCTCCAGCGACGTGTCGGTGCCCGGCAGCGAGCGCAGCAGCTCCAGCGCCTCCGTGTACTTCTGCTTCACCGACACGGCCTGCGATCGACCGGCCAAGACGCCGAAAACTCACGTCAGCACGCGGCCTTGAGAGGCTGAAAAGCCACACTATAGTGGAGCCTTCCTTACCGAGGCCGAGACGTCTCCGATGCGCATGGTCTCCTGGGTCGAGTTGGCCGACAGCACGTCCTTGAGCACGTCGATGAGGTTCGGCAGCACGTCGAACGTCTGCAGCACGAGCGCGGCGCGGCGCGGCGTTAGTGGCCATCAAGCGCGTTGACAGCAGGGTGTGGTTGTGGGATCACGAGGGCGTGAGACGCCTACCTCGTGCAGCTTGGCCTTGGAGATGGAGGCGTCGGCGTCCGTCGAGTCCATCGTCGCGGCTTGTGGCGCTTTTCGTTGTACAATTCCATCTGGGGACATTTTCTACTACATTTGTTTCACTTGAATGAGTGCATTAGGCAGGGAAATAACTATAGCGTAACATTACTGTGCAGTAAGGGTTTGAACTTTGACTGCTCAGTTCTAAAATGTACTCAGCGTATTTGGGATTGCGAGAGAACTGCGCCCCAGCGCAGCCTCCATTACGCTAGGCTAGAGTATACAATAGTAAACTTAGGTGAGCTGCAGCACTGCTTCAACTGCGACGGGGAACAGGGACACGACAGAACCCAACTGCCACCACACAATAGTTCACACTCCCACTTCGTGTTGCTTGACCTCTCTTGAAGTCAGCTTGTTGCTCGGAGCGCGCAACTACGCGTTGTCGGGTGCTGACAACACATTCAGGCTTTGCCGCAGTTTGCAGAACTGCTGTGGGCCTAGCGGCTTGGTGAAGATGTCAGCAATGTTGTCCTCGCTTGGGCAGTACGTGACTCGGAATACATTGCGCTCAACGAAGTCCCGAATCTTGTGGAACTTGAGATCCACACTGCGCACCTTGTAGTTGCTGCCAATTTCACTGATCACCTTAATCGCAGCTTGGTTATCCTCAAACAAGATAGTTTGCTTTGCCCGCCGGAGCTTCAGCTCCTCAAACAAATTATGAGGCCACATTATCATGTTCGAGCACTCGCTCGCAGCCACGAACTCCGCACTGCACGTGTCGTCCGTGATGATCGGCTGCTTCTTGCTCTTGTAGGCAAATGTGCAACCGTTGAGTTGCAACACATACCCAGTAATGGAACGACTGTCATCTTTCTCGTTTCCGAGGTCTGCGTCAGCGTAGGCAGCCAGCTGCAATCCCCGAGGCACAGTCACATTCCACACCAATCCGTACTCACGAGTACCTTGTAGGTACCGAAGCACACGCTTGGCCAGCACGAAGTGCTTCTTCGTGTAGCAGGTCAGGAACTTTCCCAAAGTCCGTACCGCATTTGCAATATCTGGGCGAGAGCAGCTCACCAGATACTGCAAAGAACCAGCAATGCACTGATAGTCCACATCAGGATCCATGTTAATGCACACAGTCTCTCTATCGGAATCTCCTGGCAGCGGAAAGTCGCCTTTCGCCCGTGGTGTGGGCGTGGCCTTGCAGTTCGCCATCTTGAATCGCTCAAGAATCCGCCCGATATATCCACGCTGCGAGATCGACAGAAACTGGCCGGGTACGTATTTGATCTCCATCGAAAGAAAGTGGCTCACATCACCCAATCTTTGACTTCGAACTTCTTCGCAAGCTCCGTCAACACAAGCTTGATGTTCTCCGTAGTCGCGGCAATCACAATGTCGTCAACATACAGAGTCAAGAAGATAGGACTATCATTCACCCAACGAAAGTAAATTCCTCCATCCATCTTCGATCGCTGGAACCCACATTGCCTTAAATACTTGTCGAGAGTCTTGTACCATATCCTCGGGGTCTGCTTGAGGCCGTACAGGCTCCGAAGCAGACGACAGACACGTCCAGATCCATCATCAAATAACTCAGGCTGCTTCATGTATATCTCAACATCAATTGGTCCGTTCAGGAAGGCCGTCACAAAGTCCACGTGACGACAGTCCAGGCCGTAGTCACTGAAGTGCGAGCAGCAGAACCAAACGTACCCCTTCCATACATACGACAGGGGCGTAGAGTCCAGTCCGTACTTCTGCTGGCAGCCCTTTATGGTGATACGGGCTCGGTGTCGCTCAACTTGTCCTTGTGCGTTCCGCTTGCGGACGAAAACCCACTTGCTCGTCAACACCTTTGCGCCTACGGGTTTCTCCACCAGCTCCCATGTGTTGTTGCGTAGCAGGTCACCGAACTCCTTATTCAGTGCTTCAACCCACTTCTCAGAGTCAGGAGCCCCCAACGCCTCATCCACAGAGGTGGGGTCCATCACTGCATTCATCGCTGGATCACCAGACTTTCTGGCACTTCAATTTCATAGTCAAACAGACGGACATTGGGTCTGCGAATGCATGTCGATCGGCGAAACGATGCCCCAGCACTGCTATCGTCATCGTCGTCCTCCTCTTCATCACTACTGGCTGACGAGATCCTGTCTCCCACTGAGCTTCCGCTCCTCTGCACTGGTTCACCTGAAGCAACAACTTCTTCACTCTCTGCAACTGCATCATCGTCTCTATCTTCTTGCTCATCTGCAGGCGGCGGCAACTCCCTCAAAGCAACCGAACGGCGACGGTTAAGTACACCGTCAGCTACCTCAGAGTCACTACCGTCCTGATCATGGTCTTCGCTCACAGAGGTTTCACCCTCTTGCTGCGGTGCACTTATAAGTGACGGCGGGTCAGCAGCCGAAGCCACTCCCACTGGAGGCTCGCTCACTGGTCCAGCCACAGGACAACCCATGCTGGCCGGAGTCTGCTCCACCACAACACCAGAGCCAAAACCACTAGCAGTAGACGAAAGGCGGCGACGCTTTGCAGGAGGACCAGTCAACTCTTCATGAGTCACAGCAGCCAGCTCATCGTGCGTCACTGCCGCTAACACCGGAAGTCGCACGAGCGGGATAATATCAGGAAGCTTGAAGCGGCCCTTCCGATACGTGTTAACCAGCAGGTTCTCCACGTACGAACGCTCAACAGTCCAACCTTCATCGAAAACAACAGAACGCTTCTCTTCGATCTTACCAGTCTTCAAATTCAACACTCGCACACTCTCTGAATGCTTTGCAAACCCAACAAACAGTCCCAGTTTGCCAGGGTTCTCCAGTTTACAGAACCTTGGGCGTGAACACATGCACGATACAGCCCCATATTTTCAGTTGATCCACGCTCGGACGCTCACCAAACCGTCTGGTGTATGGGGTATCACCTCCAAGTCCCCTGGACGGGATCACGTTCGACACATCCACAGCAAACATGAACGCCTCACCCCACAGCATCCACGGCATGTTGGCTGTCGTCAGCAAGCTGCGAATGCGTGCTTCGAGAACGCCGTTCATCTTCTCTACGAGCCCATTCTCCTCTGGGCTGTAGGCATTCGTCCAAAGAAACTCAATCCCTCTCCCACTGAGGAATGCCTTCAGCTTCTTATTGACCAGCTCCTTGCCTTGGTCTGTACCGAATACTTCAATGTGCTTGCCTTGCGCCAGTAACCACTCCAGGTGTGCGACGACTACCGGTCTGGACTCTTCTTTTGCCTTCATAAGAAAGCCCCACACCCAGCGCGTAGCCTCGTCCATCACGAGCTGAAAGCAGCGATAGCCATCGTACGTCGTTTCACCGATGCTGCACATGTCAGACATCGACTTCTGGAACGGCTCTTTAGCACGTCTCGTTTGCGTCAGCTTGTATGACATCCTCTTCAGCTTAGAGGCGGTGCACGTCCAGCAATTGCCGTCAAGTTCACTACTCGGACAGCCTGCATCTCCACACAGTTCCTCTAAACCAACCACAGTCTCTTGCGCTGCCATTTGACGCAGAGCTGGGTAGTTCAGATGTGCGAAGCGCATGTGCCAGCGTGCCGCAGCGTTCTTCTTCTTCGTTGCAGCGTTTTTCGTAGCAGCAGCCGTCACCGCTACGTTCTTCGTATCAGCAGCCGCCAACGAAATAACACTCGATCGTTCATTAGCAGGTATCGCATGAAGCCGATAGCGGCCACGCGTTTTTACCATAGACAGCTTTAACCCACCCTTCTCCAGCCAACAAATCCGTTTCATGTTCATCTGCGTGAAGCTCATGCTCCATCCGCTCTCTTCGAGCTGATGCGAGCTCAGCAAATTATCCGGTCCAGTTGGGGTATGGACAACACCATGCAACGCCAACTCTTCATCCTGCTTGGATGTCACATTAGTCACTAGTAAGCGCACTTCACCTACCACTCGCTGTCCTTTGGGTTGTCCATCGAAGTCCAAGAAGATGGGCTCCTTGTCTGGTCTTGAGTTGACAAGAAGTGTTGCGTCTTTACAGACATGCACGTCCGTCGCTGTGCCCAAGACCCACTCCATGCTACTGGACTTGCGGGGTTTACAACCGACCACAGTCGCGCCAATACTGCGCTACGTCAGTGCATCAACACTCCGCGTCACTCCTCCAGAATTGCCGCCCTTTTTGTTCTGGAACCGCTTAGCCTCCATGCCAGCACACGGTCTCTGCCCTTGCGAGTCATCATTCTTCTTTGAGTAGGGGCAGTGAGCTCGAATGTGGTCGAGCTCGCCGCAGTTCCAGCAACCATCACTCCTCTTGCCACCACTGCCTCCAGCAGACTTCCCTTCTTGGGTTTTGCCTTGGGCCTTGTAGCGACCTCGGCCTCGCTGGCGTTTTCCTTTTCCAGCATTACCCTTGCCAGAATTGTCGGAGTTTGGGTTTCCCGAAGAATTGCTCGAATTCTTCTTCGCCGAGCTAATGCTGGATTGAGGCATCTCCTCAGCGACCTTCTCATCCAGATCCTCCTCTGCGCGCAGCGCATTCATGACCTGGGCTGCTGTCGGAGCCAGTTGGTGAGTGTCTGGCACGGCAAGAACCGCATAGTGCCGAGAAAACTGGCGAACCACCTCTCGGTGAGTCCGCGACACATTGCCAAGCAAGATCTCTGCAAATTCTTCATCACTAATCACCTTGCCGTAATGCTGAAGCTCACGCCACTGCAACTCCATACCCAAAAACCTCCGACCCTCCGACTTTCTCCGACTCGTACACAAAACATGCGGATAGGAGGGGGGTCACCTTTAACTATCACCCAGCTACGCGCTACGCGCGAACCTAAAACCCCTAAAGGCTCGCTGCGCTCGCTGGGCCAGAACCCTAAGCTCGCACGCGTCGCCTCCGCTTGCTAGGTAGAGCACTGCTGGGTCCTGGGTTTGCAGCCGCGTGCTACGCACACGGACTGTCAAACCGCAGGCGGGGGCTCGCTACGCTCGCTCCGTGCCATCCATCCCAAGGCTCCGACCAATGAGCAAACGGGACGACAAATCTATCTTGGACTGTGTATGGTTATGCTCCGACCGCGCTTGACTGGGGATTTGTATACCTATCATCTTAAGTGCGGTCGGAGATTTGATGATATTCTACCATATCAGTCACTCAAATTCTGATCACGAGTATATTTGTTCGAATAGAGCTGCTCACGGGCGAAGATGTAATTCGCGTACTCACGCTTGGTCTGCTTGTTCTCAAAGCTGATCCACATGTCCTTCGCAGAAGCCTCGTGACAGATCATCTCTACATCCACCTCCGGCACACCGCGCAAGATCGCGTCCCGAGCTGCATTGTCGCGAGAATCAAAAGCCACCTGGGCCTCGACATCGAAAAGCGGGCGCGCGTCCGTGCCGTCGACAACTCCCCAAAGTCCCAATCTAGTCAAAAAGATCCTTAATTGCACAGCATATAAGTCGAAGCTACCCTTCATTAGGTGGCTTAGTAGAGATCTCCTTAATACCAGGCACAATACCACCAGAACCACGAGCTCCAGGATACAATGGGACTCCACTAGACGGAACGGGATGACCATATCCACCGTAATAGCCATATGATACTCCAGCCACCGACGGCACACTGCTTCCATACACCATCGACACGGGCGCGACAACTCCAGGCGTCGGCAGGGGCAGGGACGACGCAACACCAGCGGCGTTGGGCACGCGGGGGAACGTAAAGCCACCTTGGAGACTCGTCGTAGTAGCTGCAGACGTCACAACCGCACCACCAGTCGCCGCGACAGTACCAAGATGGATCCCAGCCGTAGTTGTAGTCGCCGTCGTCGAGCCAGCAGCACTCGCTAGTGCTGAAGAGCCTGTCGCAGTACTCGTCGCTTGCGGGTTACTCGCTGCGGGCGGAGTACCAGCCACGCTTGTCGTGGGCGTCGTCATTCTCGCGAAGACAGCAGCAAAGCTCCCGAGGGTCAGCTCACGGAGCTTTAGGCGCTTGGGCTCAGTACCAGGGATTGGAAAAAATATATTGGCCAGCATTTTTCAGCGTTAGTAGGCATTGCAGTATGGATTGCAATCCACCATGCAGTACAATACAGCATTGGTATTGCATGCCTTCACCGCAATCCCGTATTGCAATCTACCGTTCGCCTGCAATACCGTATTGCAAAGCTGTATTGCAATACTACGCATCTGTTTGAAGTGGTCAACTAGATGCCTGTGAAGGTTCAAGTCCATCGTACCTTGTGATAAGTGTACGGGGAAGCGCGGTTCAAGGTTGGCTAATGTTATTTTTGCCCGAAGGTGTTGGAATAGGAGGAACGAGGCAGAGACCAACTCACTACATTCGTACTTCATTCCTCCCCCCTCCAGTACAAGCAGCATCGTGTCCAGTAGTCTTCACCTAGATAACGCGCGTCCTTAGCGTCGATCCTGCTCTTTGGGCGAGCAAAACGGTTGCCATAGCGATACGTAAATGCCAGGGCCGCGAACGCTGCCTCAAGCACTTCTCCAGAGTGAACTAGCTCCACCACAGTGAATTGGCTTTGAGATACACCTACAATATAGTATTGCTCGTTACATGACATATATTATTGCAATACATAGGGACTCCGCAATATCGTATTGCAATACAATCTGCAATACAGTATCGTATTGTATTGGCGTATGGCGGTATTGGTATTGGACCAATATATTTTTTCCAATCCCTGCTCAGTACCTGTTGCTTTGAGCGCAGAAGACTTGCCAAACACACCGTTCGCCCACTCAGCGTATTTGGGATTGCGAGAGAACTGCGCCCCAGCGCAGCCTCCATTACGCTAGGCTAGAGTATACAATAGTAAACTTAAGTGAGATGCCGTTGATTGACATATACTTGACCCACGCCTGAAATTTCGAACTGGCCAGAGTTTTGTCACCAAGTTTGTAAACTGCGACGCTGCCTTGAACTACTCACAGATTGATCCACGCACTCTCCACCCTTTCAGCGATTTTCACTGTGCTTGAAAAGATGTTGGTAAGATGCAAACGGTCGAACACGACGTCGGCGGATTTTCCCTCGCCGAGCGTTTGGAGCCACCTTCGAAGACGAAAGCAGTTTCTTGACTTTCTTCCCGACAGGACGGACAGTCCTCCTGATCCCTCTTCGTGGTCGTTATCGTCGATAGTTCGTAAGGCCCGTGTTTTGATCGCAGTGTGAGTACCAGCCCAGTTGGACAAGTCGGGTGCTAGTCCTGCGGAGCCTCGCACAGACAAGTCTGAGCCGATGGGCGTGATGAAGGCGAAGGCCAGGAGAGCCATGCCCACCAGCCACTGGGGATACATGGTTCTTCTCGAGGACCGAAGACTGTACTTCTTGTTTCAAAGCAAAGTGAGAAATTAAGAGACATCGAGGCTTGAGACGACTACACTATTTCATATGGATGAATGTGTACGGTCAGTAAGGCATATGAATGTGTACGGTAAGTAAGCTGGAGCCATCAATATGTCTACGGGCACATCGGCATGTTGCTTGACCCGTGTGTGATAACGGCAAACAGAATGATGTACGTACAGTATCAATGCCGCTCTCCCTCCAAAGTGAAGCTCAAAATGATCAGCTGATTTACCAAGTACTAGGTAAGCTATTTGTTCACCCTGCATAGGCGCAAATGGAAGAGCGCAAAACCGTTCATCGGCAGTTCAGTTCAGCCTAGGTCATGCTAACAACACATGCTCAAATCGTCGGATGGTTTCCCCGCCTGGAAACATGCATCAAGGTAATCAATCACACATGACACGGTGTAATTAATTACACTGTGTAATTATGCAGTCCTTCAATGATGTACAAACATGTATCACAGAGGGCAACCAATAGCTCGTTTAAGTCTAAGTTGTGGCTTGAAAACGAGCAGGGTTGCGAAAGACTACATGTAGCCCCGGAATCGGGTGGGAGGGTTGCAAGAAAATGTTCTGCGGGGTGCGTATGTATGCTGCTGCTACACATTCCCTTATAAATTATTAGTCGAAACGAGTTCTCTCTTTGTCCAGGTATTATTAGCGTCCGTGGTGCTGATAGTTAGTACTAGCTTGCACTTGGACACGAAGCCCGCGTATGGTTTCATCTGCACTCCTGCTCACACTCTGCATTAAGAAGGTGTTATCATCGCCACTAATGGCGTTTCCCTCGGTAGCTGCATACGGCTTACCTTGCTTCTTCTATAGCTTTACGGAAGCTGTAAATGTCAATGCAGTGCTCAATCAAATTGTCTTGACCCGCTGCTTGGGGGGGATAGCGCGTATATAGCCAGGTTTTGATTGACTGTACCGCGCATATCGACCATGGTGCTGATGCTGAGCGCTGTAAAAAGGTGATTCAGTGTGTTGAGCTGGTATGGCTACGACGCGCTGAGCCTGGCATTGGGCGGAGGGTGATCGTATTCGCCTGCACACAGTGTATTTACAAAGATTTCGCCCTGGGCGTAGGCTCTTAGCCTGTACGACTACCTCACAGTTGTTGTTAGCAGCAACAAGCTAGCTTGCGCTCGAGTATCGTGCATCGTAGGGCAACTTCATGGCGGCAGTGTTGTTGATGGTTGTTGCTCAAAAACCGCGCTTGACAGCATGCCACTTCTGTGATGTGCTGCCGTACCGAATTGCTGTAACTTGACCCCTGAGCAAGCGGTGGGGGCCGGCTCGGCTGAGTGCTGCGACCCACGTAGTATGTGCATTACTTAAATACTTGTGGTGACTTTACGAGTGAAGTGCTGTTGACCGATTTATTGAGCCTGTACTCAAACGGTATACAGAGCGAACACGGCGTGTGTACCGTGTTGGTGCAGTTGCAGATGTTCGCAGTTGATCGAAGGGCTGACTAAAGTACACGGTGTTTGTACCGTGTCGATGCGGCTATTGCAGACAAATCGGCTGAGCCTGTACTCAAGCGTTGTACTGGGCTTACTATGATGATTCTGGGTGCTGATAGCCGTTAACGAACGCGTTGCTAAGTCTCTACATGAGTGACGCGATGCAGGGCATACCGTGTTGATGGTGCTGTTGCTCGACTATGGCAGCCAATAGTGGAGCTGTGTACTTATCGTGCTCGTCTTAGAGCCAACCTGCAAGTGTAGTGTAGTTACTTGTTCAGTAGAGGTAACCTGACCTATTCCCCCCCAGATATATCTGTCTTAGAAACCATGCGACCACATTATCATGTGCGTGCCTTTATTATCTTTTGACAGTCGTGTTATAGCAAAGTTTTGTGCATGACCTGAACCTGAACTGAACTGCCCCTGAACTGATAAAAACGCTACCAGCTACAACGAAAATAACGGCAAAACGCGAACTAAAATGTTCATATATACGAGCATTTCACCTCGGACTTCGCTGCTGTTATGCGCCTTTTGCTGCCAGCGCATCGAGCTTCGCGACGTATCTCTTGAGCAATTCGCCGCTGCTTGGCACATGGTCAAACCTCTTCTGTAGGACTGCCAGGGGCTCCTTTTCAGCGACCCATTTGTTGACCAAAGCATTCTCCAAGTCTGTCGCCAGTTTCTTCGTCTTTGGCTCCTTCTTCGCCGCCGCAAGGATCCCCATGAGGCTGATGTCGTTGTAGCTGGCCCGGAGTCCATCGATCATCGTCGTCTTCTCCTTGCGGTACCGCTGGTTGGATTTGTTCAGATAGTTGGCCCAGATTTTGAAGTTGGGACTGGCAAAAATCTTTTCGCCAGCACCGTTCAGCTCCAGATCGCGGAATATCTGCCAGGGGGCCTTCTTTCTATCCAGCCAGTACTTGGAGCGCTCCTTCACCACTAGTTTAGCAATGTTCACGGTACTAGGGCTTTCCATCGCGACCGAGATCATTTGATCGAGGGGAGCGGGGTTGTACGTCATGCGCATGGGCGTGAACCAGGATTCTCGCTGTCTTGGGTTCCTCTTGTTGAAATCGTTTACGTACTTCCTCCACATCTGAAACACGTGATCACCGAGAAGGTTCTTCCCCACGTTGTCGAGAGCGAGCAGCTTGAAGACTTTTTCGGGGGATTGATTGCTCGCCAGGTAGCCCTTGATCTTCTCGGTTTGGATTGCAAGTGCGGTCGATTTCATGCTGGAGAACTGCGTTGCGGCGAGGAGGATCTGGTTCATCGTTCTCTGGTCGAAGCGAGTCTCCAATTTTGGCAACATCTCAGGCGCCCTGAGATGATTTTCCTTGATGTACATGTTCATGTATGAGACCCACGTGCGGAGCAGAAGGTTGTTGGTAAAGTCAGCGTTTGGTCGGAGCTTTAGCAGCAGCATCACGTCGTCCACCGATTTCCCGCTCTTCTGCCACATCTCCAGCTGCGCAGACTCCAGCTTGGTGGCCAAGTTTCGCGTTTCAACGCTGGTTTTTGCCACAGCAAGCACCCTCGCACCTTTATCATCACTGAATTTCCGCGTTAAGGTCTCGATCACGGTTGCCTTCTCTTCTGGATGCTTCGTGCTGTAAGCGTTCGGGTACTTGGCCCAACTGTTGAATAGCGGGTTATCCAGCAGCGAATCCAATGCGTAGCTGAGCCCGAGGTCTTCCAGAGCGTCATCGGGTGATTTTCGACGGTTTAGCCAGAACTTGACCAGTTGATCCTCCAACTTGGTGGCGATGGCTTTGGTTCCTTTCATACTCTTCGCCGCCTGAACAATTTCGAACAGAGTGACCTCATTAATGTGGTATTTCGTGAGCACGGGGACCATGGACGCTGACTTCTCGGGATACTTTGCGTTGAAATCGTCCACGTACTTGGCCCAGACAGTGAACGCCGGGTCGCTTAGAAAGTTGCGCTCCACCTTCTCCAGCTTCATGAAGTGAAACACGTCGTCCGGAGTTTTACCAGCGGTCACCCAATGCTGGATTTGCTCGGTCTGTAGTCGCGTGGCGATGCTCTTTGTCCTTGGGACGTTCATGGCTGCTTGGATTATGCTGTACAGATCGCCGTCGCCGTACTGCTTCGTCAATGTCGAGATCGCAGACATTTTCTTGCCGGGGTTCTTTGCGCTCAGATCGTCCACGTACTTGAGCCAGTCGACGAAATCACCGTAGTAGAGCAGCATGTCGTCAGCCTTGTTCAGACGCAGTCGCGTGAAAACCGTGTCGGCCGATTTCCCCTCCTTGAGCCGATTTCCAAGCTGTGCCGGTGTCACTTTCGATGAGGAGAAGAAAGTCTTGATCTTCTCGACTACAGGCACAGACAGTCCCGCTCTCTCAGCATCGTCGCCGTTGAGTCTGGTGTTGGCAACGCTTGTGGTTAAGAATCTCCCTTCTGTTTCGCTCGCAGGGTGGAGACCGTTCCTCAGCAATGACGCCGCTACAGTGTGTGTGATCGAGACGACGATGAGCAAGGCGAAGCCAACCACGCCGTGGAGGCGCATTGTTCGATTTGGAGATGACGAAGTGCCTTTCGAACTGAAAGCAGATTGATACATCTAAGGCATTGAGCCGCAACTAAGGCTACACAAGACTCTGCTTGGGTGTTACACTACCGTAAGATTTGTTGGCGTGATGCTTGCGAACTCTTGGGATGGTGATAAGGACAGGCACACTGGTTGATGTGATGGTAAAGAAGGCAAAATGCACAGCAGTGAAGCTTAGCTACTGTACGCTGGTGGAGCCAATTCGTGTACATGTACCAGGGCCTTAGGCGCCTTTTAATTTACGGTGCTGTTGTGCTGTCGCATTAAAGGTGCTCTAACCACCTCGAATTCAGACACAGAAGATCAAGAGCTACTGTACTTAGCAAACAACGAATCCCCACTGGATGTCTTTGTACGGCTGGATCTAGAGTCTAGATCCAGCCGTACAAAGATTCTAGACCATGCGCGGGACAACCTTCTCGCCGACCCGGTGTTCACGAAGTGGCTCAAGTACGTGAAAGATTATAACAAGAAGAACCCGAAGAAGCAAGAATCCCTATACGAGCCAATTCACCAAAACTATACTGATGTCCCATTCAATGGATGATCAAGGTAGCGAGGAAGAACCCAAGCACAGATAACGTGGCGAAACTAAGTTCACAACCTGAATCCACAGTTGGTTGGCTACAGTACAGACAACGACGGAAAAATCCGGCAACGCAAAACCCGGCATTCCATAGACATGTCCATACAAAACAAGCGATGATTTTGTCCAATCAAATTTATTTTATTCATAAAAATAAGCCAATCACCGCGATTTAATTTTTGAATGGCTCTGGTAAATCCCCGTGTGCCATTGCCTAATTTGGAGCTGGTCGACTGAGCCGCTCAAACTGTTTTTCGAGCTATGGAGGACACGCCGCCGCCCAAGAAGAAGCAGAAGAGCTACACCGTCCGCCAGAAGCGCGAAGCGGTCCGCCTCGTCGAAGATGTAGGGGTGGAGGAGGCAGCCCGCGAGCTCCAACTTGCTCGGGGCACTGTCCATGGCTGGTGGAAGCAAGCTGAAAAGCTTTTTAGCTTCACTGGCCACTCCACCTCTAAGTCCCTGAAGGGCCAGGGCCGCAGGGAAGTATTTCCCGACCTTCCTGCGGTCGTCACCTTCATAAAGGACGTGCGGCGCGAAGAGTAGGTAAGTTTGTTTTTTTAGAATCTCATAATTTGTAGCGTTTAACCGTTAAACTTTATGCTATAATGTACAGGCCCTCACTACACGTGGCATTATGTCCTTCATGTGGGCAATCGAGACCGAGTGGGTCGAGACTACTTGCAAAGGAAGCGGAGGGACATCCTGGCGCTTGAGCGCATGGTCGAGAGACTCGCAATTCGGTAAATAATTTTGTTTTTGCTAAAACTCCATCAGTTTCCTACCATTTACCTTTATTTGCGTGTTTAGGCATGGTTTTACCTCCCAGAAGC